TTCTTACCCAATTATTATAAAGCTGATCTTGGGGTAGTGAAGCCTCGCTGTGGCTTCTGCCTGAGAAGAGATAGGCCATGTGACAAGTAGATATCCCCAAAGTGAAAGCCCAGCAGAGGTGGTGAAGCCACCCAGCCTCACACCTATTCCAAAGTAGGATCTGATGTCAGGCCATGCCACCCAATGGCTCAAACTGTGGTCTCCCTGGAGCTTCCTCCTGGGAATGACTAAGGAGAGGAAGTCTGGTTCTCCCAACCAGATGCATGGACACAGAGCAGTTTCCCATGCGGTAGGCTTCCCAGACTCAACCACTTGCAGTCATGCTGGCTATGACCCCTCATTGAAACTTAGCAAAATCTATGAGTCCCCTTCACTCTCAGTGATTCTGAGGATCACTCTCTAAAGTGCCTGTACATTAATGCCTTTGTGGGGATTAGCTAGCAAGTGATAGACGGCAAAACAGGGATTAAGGTGAAAGGTTTGGGCCAAGCATGAAAGGGCACAACAGTAGGAAGGTGAAGTGCCCTCAAAAGTCCACATCACTGGTTCAGATGCGAGTCCAGCTCTGTGTATATGCCATGAATCTAAAGAAGGATGACAAGAAATACAGTTGCTATTTTTTTAATTTTTATTTATTGATTTATTTTTAGAGAGACAGACAGGAGGTAAGGAGGAAAGAGAAAGGTTTGTTGTTTCACTTATTCACTTATTTATGCATTGATTGGTTGCTTCTTGAATGTACCCAGACCAAGGACCAAACCCTCTAGGGTGATGTTCTAACCAACTGAGCTATCCATCCAGGGTTGCTTTTTGATACAAAAAATTTAAAAAATCATTAACTGATAAACAGAAGTACTGGATACTTGCATGCCCTCCTCTTCTTCTCACATGAGTGAGCATGTATGCACATGCACACACACACACGGCTTTCTCCAAGTCAGCCAAGTGTGCTTTTTCTGCATCGTTTTCTGCACCAAGAATATTTGTTTCTCTACAGAACCTGAATAAGTATTCACATATTTGTCTATCTACCTGTTTCTTGTCATGTTCCAAAAAATTGTATGTATTTATTTATTTTTAGAAAGAGGGGAAGTAAGGGAGAAGGAGGGGCATCAATGTGTGGTTGCCTCTGGTACACCCCCAACTGGGGACCTGGTCCGCAACCTAGGTGCGTGCCCCGATCAGGAATCGAACCAGCAACTCTTGGGTTCGCAGGCCAGCACTCAATCCACTGAACCACACCAGCCAGGGCCCAAAAAGTTTTAAATGGCTTATTTGTATATGTACTATGTCGATAATTTAAAGTATAAAGGAAATGAAAAATACAGACCAAAAATGAAATCACAGGAGTCAGGAAAAGAATTTGAGTAAACGATCTACATACCTGTTTCCAGTGAACCATAAATTTGCCCCTAAGCTTTCCAGTTTCCAAGTTTCCAGTGAAGAGAAACCTAGTCAATAATATAATTCTCATTTCTAAGAGGGATTCCTAAACTTTTGTGTGCACTTGAACCACTTGAAGAGCTTATAAAAACTAGCCTCACCCAGGCCGCCAACAGAATTTCAAATTCTATAGATCGGGGGGGAGGTCCTGGAATTTATAATTTTATCACATTACCCTTGATCCCTCAGATAAGAGAAACCAAGATCACAGAATAATAAGTTATTTTTGGTATTAAGATCACATAGGACTTTCTTTCAGGGAGGAGGCAGAGGGAGAGGAGTACATCCTGCTTATGGAAATTGATATTTGTGGAGACCTTTTTTCAGTGGACACAAGTCATCTAAAGTTCTTAATGTGGAGTTCTCAGTACACGTGAACTTTGTGTGATCATGTACAACTTCGTTCACTTCAATTCTGTAGCAAAAGAAACTTATTTTTCATATCTCACATCTTGTCACCTTGAAGCTGAAGTGAATCTAAGACTCTAAGGGTGCTTCATTCATGTTTTATTTTTAAATAAATGAAGGACTAGATGAGATAGTCTTTTGTTTTCCTAGGGAAGAGATAATTTGGGCTGGTTTTAGACAATTTCTTATTTGCCTATGTGCACTGCTCTTAAACCCGGGTAGAAAAAGGCCTAAGAGAGTGGGACTATTAGGTATGGAGACCTCCTTTACATGTTCGATAACTTTCTGTAGAGGAGCTGGTATTTGATGAGAATACAAGGATAGACAGACTGCCTCCATGGTGTGTGCAGACAAGAGGTGATTCAAACATAATGTGGTAAGTAGTCTGAGTGAGGACATGCAGAACACTTAAGGGAGGCAACAAAGCCATACCTGGTGGTCAGGGGAGGCTTCTCGGAAGATGTTACATGTAAGCTAAGACCTAATATGTAGGTAGAAATTAAACATGAAGGTAGGTTACATGTGGGTTGGGATGGGCCTCAAAATGGAAGTTGGGAGAAAATGTTACAAAATAAACAAACAACAAAGAACCCACCCAGCTTGCTGTGAACATCTATTTCCGAGACAGGAGGTACATGCTGCCAAAGCAGAAGGAAATCCAGCCTGGCCTCTGTATGCTGTATGTAGGGCTGGGGTGAAAATGTGGAGGGATAAGAAGGGCTACATCTTGCATGTTTATAATTGTGATCCATGTTAAAGCTACAGATTAAGGACCCTAGTAATCCATATTAAGGAATTTAGACCAACCCATGAGAGCTGGAGAGCCCTTAAGCTGGTGATCATTTATTTGCATTTAGAAAGATTAATGGAACCCTTAAATCTCTCCAATCATGTCTTTCATCACATGTAAGGCCAGATAAGTGATATGAATTATTTCCTTGAATAACTGAAAACCCAAGGGAGTGAAAGATAAAATGAAGCTCATTGCTTCATGGAGTAGTCCAAGCAGCTCCACAGATGAGTCCTGTTCTCGCTGCCACAGGCACACCAGCTTGGGGTACTGGACCAGCCACTACTTTACCGAACAAATGGACCCGGGGGGGGGGGGGCGTGCCCAGACTCTATTACCCAAACAACAACACCCCCTTCCCTGGGGTCCCTCGGTTGTAGGTCCTTTGTCCTCCACCCTTGGAATTATGGCTCTGAATGGCAGAGTTTGGTGAAAAGGAAAGGAACTATTTATTCAAGAGTTATACAGGTTTGATTAATAGCTAAATGTCGCTCTTAAACCTCAAAATCCCTTTAAAACAATCACCAGCACACACATAATCCTGCTTTCCCCGTTTTTCCCAGTTAGGCCAGTCAGGCCTGTCGGGGTACCGTCCTTCAGAAAAAAAAGAAGTCCGAGCCTCAGCTATGCAGGCCTCTGGCGGGTCTCAGCACCATCCGCTGTGTCACCGTGATCTCCAGTTCTTTATTCATAACCATGTGGCACCTTCTCATGGCCCACTAGCAAGAGTCCTTTCTCCCCTCTTTCTTCCCAAGTATCTTCACACTGTTTCGCAGAGACTGTGTCCCTCGTTCTCTCCCGCAGGCCTTCCTCCTCCTCCCTAGTTACATTCTGCATTGTCCTTTAAATCTTTCTGATTAGCTTTGGTGATATGCAAACTAACTCTTCTTGCATATGAGGAATGAAGCTATCCTGTTATTGACATGCAAAATGACTCTAAATGGCCCTGCTCAAGGCTCCCAACCCCCATGGTGGCCCACCCTGGGGTAGGGAGAATATACTTCTCTTGGACACCCCAATCTCTGGACCCCGTTACAAATACCCTTTGCGGGGGGCCCTGGCTGTGCCCCGTTACACTACCACCTGGAAATGAAGGTACTTTGCTGGTGGTAAGAACCTAAATCAATTATTGCATTCATATACGTATTTTTTTCCCCCTTATATATCTTAATGCCATACCCCCATTATCCCAGCAATTAGTTTCCAAGGAAAAGGAAAATTGGGCATATAATACCATCTACACACCCCTGCTTTGCAGGACTGGAGATGCAACCAGCTCCCTGAGAAAGGTAAGCAAGACACCAGAAAATGTTAAGAACTGGCCAATTATTTGGACAGGGACATGGAATCTACTCGTGGAAAAGTGTTCTCAAGTATGATGGCAAAAGACAAATATTTTATTTTATCTACGTTTATGATTAATAAACTCGTTTTTAAAGCTAAAGCTGGAAGATGACTGAAGTCTAGGCCACAGTGTACAAAGGGTATCTATGGCTCTGCTAAAAGGAATATGAGTGGATCCACACTCCAGAGTAATTCAGTTTATGATAAAACTACCCTGGTTTTAACACTAGATCATTAAACTAGAATACTGGCTAATGAGGTTATTTGAAGGAAAAATAAAATGTTCTCAGAGATGAAACTCCTAAGATGATTCCCAAGTGTAGGTTGCCATCTAGTGGTCATTCATGGAAATAAAAAAGGTCAGTACAATAGCTTCCAAATCAGGATTATCGGCAAATGACTCAAAAACCACATTTCAATTTTAAGACATCAAATTATACGATGAAACCCTCTGAGGTTTGTGTTGGTGGGCAAAGGGATGGGTGGGTGAATAGGCCACTTCTAAAAAATCGGGTGATTCTGGGAAGCAGTACAGTGTAAGCAAATAGTTCCCAAGCCTGGCCTCCCACAGAATCACCTGGAACACTTTATAAAAGTACAGATGGTCAAGCCACACTGCAGACCAAAGAAATTAGATTCTCTCAGGTGGGACACACACAATGCACGTTCAAAAGTCTCAAGTGATTCTCCTCTGCAGCCAAGGTGAGGACCACTGCGTGGTGGGTTAAGACCATGGATTCCAGCTCTATGTGAATTTCACTGCTATCTGTTACCTTGAGCAGGGAAAGTGAGCTAAGTAAACAACATCTATGTGCCTCATAAATGAGGATAATAACCTCTCCTGGGGTTATTGTGGGGATTAAATATGATCATGGGTGTCAAGTGCTTAGCATAATGCCTGGTATTGTACTCAACAATGCTAAATGTTTAATGACACTTTCCATTGAAGAAAATGTTTTATGAGTTAATAAAAAGAATAAATAAAAAATATAAACTATAAACCTTAATGAAAATTTCAATTATACTTTTTAATTAAAATGTTATTATTGTCTTAATTAAAATATATTTAATTATAAAAACAATCAGAATACAGTATGAGATGTTTTACTACACATGACTAACAACACAAATGCACAATTATAATCAAATCTTAATATCGTATACATTTAATGTATTAGAAGTGCACAACAGGAAGATAAGACCTTCCTTAAAAACTTTATAGAAGCACTTATGTTTCTTCAAATATAAGGCTCACATAAGCCATAAGAAAACCTAATAGTCTGTTCACATGCAAAATAAATTAATCTTTAAAAGTATCTATGAACCAGAACAATTCTTTTTGAGTTTGAGTCAGTAAGGAATATTTAGAGGCTAAAAAGAAACTGGTAGTAAAGATGTGAAACAAGGAGTTTGACAAGAAACAAACAGTTCAGTATTATCACGTTCATGTATCTGCCAAGTTCTAGGTTTCCTGTGCTCAACCAGATAAGTCTGAACACAGCAACTGTAAAGGACTCCACATAAATACTGAAACGCAGTGTCCTGGAAAATAGACGCACTGCAGAAATGCCCACAGTAATGACCGCCACCTGGCGGCACAGTAATGAAATGATACGGAATAAAATGTTAATAGGAAAGATAACATGAAATATAAAAAGGATGTCTAAATAATTGTTACTTCAAAACCTAAAGGAAAAATACAGAATGGTGAGCTCTTTATTTTGTGTATGTGTTATAACTGAAGGAATTTCTGCCTTCAAAATACTCATTGTTTCAATGCTTAGTTTTGGATTGCTAACCATCTGACAGGTACTGTGCTCAGTGCTACCTATCACACTGATGCATAAAACATGGTTCTCTAAGGAGAAAGAAACCAAGGTCTAGGAAGTACTCATCATACTTTTTAAAAATTCAATGAAATAAGTCTTCTGAATCTAAATAGAAATTTCTTTTCCAAAATGATGACTCTCTAATTAAGAATGTTTATGTACATACACAGCAAGTCAAAATTTCAGAAGAACATAGATTCAGTCATTCTAAATTGTTCAATGACTAGTTCAGTGGATGTGATACCCATCTCATCACCTGCCGGTGTGTTTTTCCCAAAGTACATTCTTACACACAGAATTTTAAACAATGAAACAAACATTTCATCTATTCTTTCCTATCTAGTCCTAGTAAAATATGGAACAAGTACCAATTTTTTAAAATCTGGATATCTAAAACAATTTAAACCAATCAGATTATAGGGCTGAAATGCTGTACTAAATTTTGTGACACCATCAGTGTGGCAGCAAATTTGGGGAGAGGCAGCAACCATGGCTGAGCATGTGAGGATGTCAGAATCAATCTTCATCATCTCTTTGAAAAGGCACTACCTGAATTTCCCTGGCTATTCTCTCTGCTAAGGTTTTACTGCTTGCAGCAATTATTCTCCGTGACATCAAATCAAAAGGTCCACCTGAAATCAATCAAATATAGAAAATGGTTACATTCTGTATTAAAACTATTCCTGTAGAACTAGAACAGCAATAGATACTATGGTCAATCATGTTAATGCTTTCATTCATCTTTTCAAAAAACTACTTTTTTGCATAACCATAATGTTTAAGCTTTGACAACATTCTAGGCATCTTTTTTAAGAAACCAGTTGGGGGTGGGTCTCAATCACACCAGTCTGAAAAATGTGATTTTTCTGTTTCTCCCTTTGCGCACTTTTGTTACTCTGATGACCTCCATAATGTTTGGGAGTCTGTGGACAGGAAATCCAGCCAGTATGGTTTCATACCCTCTCCTCCCATTTCCTGACTTCTTTGTCACCCTTCTCCTAGACAACTGGTGAATTTCTAACCCAGGTTCGCCTTTTTAAAATGTCACCACCAGGTTGAAGCATTTAACCTCTGCAGGCCTGAGGCAGAAAGCAATGGAGGCAGAGGTCAGTCATCAGCTATCACATGGTCACCACTCAGAATTCTTGGTACAATCCTCAGGTTTATGGACCTTCTAGACTTTTTCTACAGCTTGTCCAGAGCTCCTGCTAACTCACATTTGAACAAGCTTAGCCATTTGTCATCGGGAATCCCACACTACCCTTAGCATCTTACCCTTGTCTATACCCCATTATGTTTTATTTTGATTTTGCAGAAAATCATGTCTTGTTTTGCCTTTAAGAGTATAACATAAATCAAACATTGAAAGACAAGAGCCGCATGTGGAGGAAAAGTCCAACAGAAGAGAGAGGAAATGCTTCACTGCCACATCACGCTACCTGTCACATCCATCAGTATCCCACCAGCTTCAGTGACAATGATGCCGGCTCCTGCCATGTCCCAACAGTGAATGCCCATTTCGTAATATGCATCAGCAGCTCCGCTGGCCACAAGGCACATATTGACAGCTGCTGTTCCGACGCCTCGGATCCTAACAAACAGAATTTAAAAATGAGATTGGAAGAAAGAATTCTTTCAAATAAGTATTCCTCCTTAACTTCAGTTCATTTTTAGTGTTGACCAAGACAATCTGAACCCATCTAGAGGATGCACATAAAATAAGGCCGTATCTAATTTAAAAAAAATAAAAATAAAAATACCTAAAATCTAATTACCATGGTGCACTATATAAATAACAAAGTTAGTCCGCACAAACTAATTTAATAAGATAAACATTAAAACAATGGTATTTTCAGGAGAAAAAGCTAAAAAAAATACTAAATCCTACTATCATGGCATGTGTGAATATATAATCATGTTTGTCAAAACCAGTAAAAAGGACTATCTTTGGTATCACAAAGACTTGAGTTTGCTTCCTGCTCCGCTGCTTAAAAAATGTAATTTGGAAAAACTTTATTCTTTAAACTGTAGCTTTTTGTCAACAAAATAGGAATACCAACTGCCTTGGTTCACTGTTATAATGATTATAAATTATGTAAAGCAGCTAGCAGAGTGCCTAACATATATTGGGTTGGCCAAAAAAGTCCAAATGGTTTTTTCAGTAAAAGAAAAGACACATATTTCATTTTCACCAATAACTTCATTGATTTGGATATTTTTAGTATGTTGGCTAGCTCCTGTGTGGTATAACATTGATTGTTCTCAACTAATGTCTCGATTTGATTGCTATCAACTTCAACTGGTCTACCCAACCATGTTGGGAGCATCATCCAGTGAGATATCTCCAGCACAAAACTTCACAAACCACTTTTGACACGTTTTATCAATCACAGTGCATTCTCCATACACTGCACAAATCCGTTTTTGTTTTAGTTATGTTTTTACCTTTCCTGGAGTAATAAAGCACAATATGCCAAAAATGTTCTGTATCTTCTTCCATCTTCAATATTACAATGGCTACACAAAAATTCACCAATTTTAATGTTTTTAAAATATTAATTTTTTTTATTTTGTTAGCATCTGATGATTTTTTTAAGTATATTTTATTGATTGTGCTATTACAGTTGTCCCCATTTTTTTTCTCGCTTTTACCACCCCCCCCGCCTTGCACCACCCTACGTTCCAACACTCCCCCCTGCCTTAGTTCATGTCCATGGATTGTACATATAAGTTCTTTGGCTTCTCCATTTCCTATATTATTCTTAACCTTCCCCTGTCAATTTTGTACCTACCAATTATGCTTCTTATTCCCTTTCCCCCCATTCTCCCCTTCCCCTCCCCACTGCCCATTGATAACCCTCCAAGTGATCTCTACTTCTGTGATTCTGTTCCTATTCTAGTTGTTTGCTTAGGTTTTGTTTATGCTTTTTAGCTTCAGTTGTTGATAGTTGTGAGTTTGTTGTCATTTTACTGTTTATAGTTTCTGATCTTCTATTTCTTAGATAAGTCCCTTTAACATTTCATATAATAAGGGTTGGGTGATGATGAACTCCTTTAACTTTACCTTTTCTGAGAAGCACTTTATCTGCCCTTCCATTCTCAATTATAGCTTTGCTGAATAGAGTAACCTTGGCTGTAGGTCCTTGCCTTTCATGACTTCAAATACTTCATTCCAGCCCCTTCTTGCCTGCTAAGTTTCTTCTGAGAAATCAGCCAATAGTCATATGGGAATTCATTTGTAGGTAACTGTCTCCTTTTCTACTGCTGCTTTTAAGATTCTCTCCTTATCTTTAATCTTAGGTAATGTAATTAGGATGTGCCTTGGTGTGTTCCTCCTTGGGTCCAATTTCTTTAGGACTCTCTGGGCTTCTTGGACTTCCTGGAAGTCTATTAACTTTGCCTGATTGGGGAAGTTTTCCTTCATTGTTTGTTCAAATAAGTTTTCAGGTTCTTGCTCTTCTTCTCCTTCTGGCACCCCTATGATTCAGATGTTGGAACATTTAAAGTTATCCAAGAGGTTCCTAAGCCTCTCCTCGTTTTTTTTGAATTCTTGTTTCTTCATTCTGTTCCAGTTGGATGTTTATTTCTTCCTTTTGATCCAAATCATTGATTTGAGTCCCGGTTTCTTTTCTGTCACTGTTAGTTCCCTGTATATTTTTCTTTTTTTAATCTCTGTATAGCCTTCATTTCTTCCTTCATTTTTGTGAGCAAGCTCAATCAATTCTGTGAGCATCCCAATTACCAGTGTTTTGAGCTCTGCATCTGATAGGTTGTCTATATCCTCGTCACTTCGTGCTTTTTCTGGATGTGTTGCAGCCTCTTTAGGCTGGACAGGCTATACAATACAATCTAACAAAATTGTTTTGAATGAAGTTAAAGACAACTAAGCATTACTGGAGCCATCTTACAGAAAAAACCAAACAAACTTTTTGTGCAACCCAATATAAGGACCTCAGTAGAGAAAAAGCTATGGTTCTGGTGAAATTATTCCCTAAACCATGATGTCAGAAAATATTATGTAAGAAAACAGACACAGTGCATTTCACCTAAGTGAGTCCCCATAACTTAAAGAAAATGGACCCATAATGATCAACTTATAAATGTCCTTTCCTAATTCAGAAACTATTAGACTGTTTCTACTTATTTAAGGCATTTATTCAAAAATTATAACTCTTGATTTTGGCAGGGGGCGGGAGGGCGAGTATAATTAACACTTCTGGTTCACATTGGAAAACTGGAAAATCAGCTGAACGCAAAAGTTCACAGAAAAAAATCAGTACATCTGTACTTCTCCTTGAAAACACTTTCTCAGTTATACTTTTGAGAAATTCTGTAAATAAAAGGTCACTGTTTCATTTTACTTCTGGCAATGGAACAATGAAAGGTTAAATAAAGGTATGAAGAACTGGCAGCTCCTTCCTGCTCAGCCTAACTGTTCCATAGTCCACCCCTAAGTCCTGCTTTAGCTGGCACCCTGGCTCAGGCTTCTGGAACCTCCCTCTGGATCTCATTCTGGGAGGTTCCTCAGCTAACTGACACCAGCTCTTCCGCTTTCCTCCTTACTGTATAGAGCACAGATTTATAGCGTAGGATTAGAGTTTATACAGTGGCCACACTATACACTGACTGTACTGATTCCTAAGAAAGAAATTTAATGCGGGAAAAAGAGAAATGGCCCAGAAGCCAGGTCCCAGGCACATCTCCATCCCACTGTGTGTTCACGGGCGGTCACTTTACCCCCCCTGGACCTTGGTTAACTCACCTACAAATAAGGCTGGATTATTAAATGTTTTTCAATCAGGTCAAAGAATCTTATAGCTCTAGTGATATTTTCAGAAAAAAACAGAATTAGTAGTGAATTAAAATCCCAAAAATCTGTGGTTATTCAACTACTTTATTATTATTTTTCAAGCAAACAATTACAGTAAATGTCAGAGAAATGCTATTTAACATAGGCATTAACTATATTAAAGTTAATGACCTCCAACCTTTACTTTTCTTGAAACTTTAAGGATAAATTTATGTAAGTGTTTATTACTGGCTTGTAATTTCTTTGCTTATAAAAGTTTTATTATAGAACAATTCTGAGTCTGGAGCATAATAGCGGTGTTATGGTGTTAAAACCTTTACTACCCACTCTCAAATAAAAATACAATGAAGCCCTGACTGGGTATCTCTACTGGTTGGAGCATAATCTGGTAAACTGAAAGGTCATGGGTTTGATTTCCATGCCTAGGCGCATGCCTAGGTTGTGGGTTCCTCCAGGGTCAGGGCACATAAGAGAGGCAACCGATGGATGTTTCTCTCTCACACTGATGTTTCTTTCCCTCTCTATCTCCCTCCATTCTCCTGTCTCTAAAATCAATAAGCACATCCTTGGGTGAGGATAAAAATATAAACAAACAAACAAACAAATAAAATCAATGAAGACAAATAAAGACAACCTATTCCTTCAGCGAGTCTAGGAATCAGAAAACACAAATTCTCAAACCACCTCTGGTAAAGGGAAAACAAGGAAGAGGATTCTAACACAGCACTGCCAGCCTGTGGGTACAGAGAGCTGGGGATAGCAGGAGGGAGCAGCAGACCCAGAGGGAACACACAAACCAGTCTACGAAAGTGAAAGTGGGACAGTGGTCACAGACCAGCACGTCGTACTTCACAGCCTGGGTACAGCAACGAAGGGGCTAGGAAACCCACAGAGACTGACGTGGCAGTGCAGGGATGCTGTGCTGCTCCAGAAGAATCAGGTAAGACAGGAGAGGCTATTCCACCAATGTGCATATGTGTGAAACCAAAAATACCAGGCTCACAGAAACAGAATGGATGGGTGGTCACCAGAGGCATGAGTAGAGGGTAGTAAGTGAAGCGCTGAAGGGAATCAAAGGCACAAATTTCCAGTTATATTCATGAAAGAAAAAGCACAGCAGGGAAGAACGGATAGAATGAGGAAATCTGAAACCAGGAACCTGATTACACAATGAACAGAGATATAAAACAGGAGGTCAAATCCACACAAAACTACTACAAAACACTGGACATTGATAATAAGTGCTTTGGTTTTTTGGCTAATAAAGTCTCCCCCTGAAAAATCAACAATAAAATTGAAGAAAACTGAAGCTGAAATCAACCCAATCTGAATTAAATATCTCCAAACAAAAAGTTGTGAATATGGAGGGAGGGGTATGTTAAATTAGAAATACAAAAACTAAACCAGAAATAGCGGAGGAAAACATCCAGGAAGAAATAAAATGAGATGATTGAACTCAGAAAAGAAAGTGGAGCAAAAAAGACAAAATAACATCTGGAGTGAAGACTACATTTCAAGACAGCCACTAATGAGAACAGATACAAGTGAAAACTTAATAAAGGGCCATGAGGAAAAGAAAAAAAAAAAAAAGGCAAAAGAGTCAGAGAGAAAGTAGCTGAAATGGAAGACAGAGAGGAGACTGAACTTGCCTACTGGCGTCTCTGAAGCAGAAAATGAAAACAGACTTGAACTAATATTTAAAACTATAATTCAAGAAAACTTGAAGAAAAAAAAGACATGAATCTACATGCTGAAGAAAACTATCCAAGAATGAGCAATTCCAAAATACATCCTTGTAAAACAACCAGATATCAAAGATTTAAAGAAAAACAAATTCTCATCAGTTCCATGTAAATTCTGAAATAATTTAAAAGCCAAGGAAATTAAATTGGCCTCAGATTTCTCAGAAACAACATTCAAAGTGCCATGACTGGTGTGGCTCAGTGGGTTGAGCATTGTTCCGCAAACCAAAAGGTCACTAGTTCGATTCTCAGTCAAGGGTACACACCTGGGTTGTGGGTCAGGACCTCCACTTGAGGGTGTGCAAGAAGCAACTGAGCAATGTTTTGCATACTGATGTTTCTCTCCCTTTCTTTTCCCCTCCCTTCCCCTCTCTCTAAAAATAAATATATAAAATCTTTAAAAAAAAAACACACACAGTAAAGATGGCTAAAGAGAGAGGCTGGCTAAATGGCTGAAGCCTGGATCTTTCCTTGGAGGAAGGAAAATGCTACAAAGGACATTATTAAGTCAAATGACCAAACTGAACTTGGATGGTAGATTAGAGAACAAGTTTATAAATTCAGTAACGCACTATGCATATGGAAGAGAATATCTCTGCTCCTAACACGTAACAAACTGAAGTATTTAGGGATGAAGAACTATGGTGTAAGTAGTTTACCTTACGACAGTTTAGAGAGACAAAAGGTGTGCATGTACACACACACAGAGGGAATAATAAAAGGACAAACAAATGGGAGTAAAATATTAATAGGTGAATCTGGGCAAAGGCTATACTATTTTTTTTATATTATTTTATTTCTGTGAAGTTTGTTAAATTTGAAATTATTTTCAAATGAAAAATTTTCAAATTACATTAGAAAATTAGAATTATGGTATTGCTCTCATGTCAATTAATAAAAACTTTCATTTCTAAAAGAAAATTATTCCTTAATGCATTAAATTATCTGGAACTCTAGAGGGGAATGAATAGAGCTTACCCATGAATAGGGATGCAAAGAAGCTTTTCCATGTTAGAAAGAACAGTTCTTACAGTCTCTGGCGTTCTGCAAGAGCCCAACTCTGTCACCAAGAGTGACTTGGTAATATCTAAAAGAAAACATTTCCAATATCACTAGAGTAAATGGTAAGAATTCTAGTAAAAAAAAAAAATTGACACCTGTAATTCAGAATAAAACAGACAATTTTAGCTTCCTTCCTATTTGTATCAAATTTGTTTACTTCTAAGTCTTTAAATGTTAAAATACTGATAAATTTATTATTTCTCAGTGGCCATTTTATAAAGGAGTCTAGCTTTTTAGACCATCCCCAAAATATGCAGAGTATAATTAATTTGTCTGTATACATAATACCTTCAGTGGGAAAATTAGCAAATACTTTAAATATTTAAAGAGGAATTTAGGAAATAAATTCAATGAATAATTTACATATAGATTTGAAAAAAAACAAGTTTGAAATGGCAGCTCTCTTATCTGCCCCCTGTTTACTAATTTCACAGATGAACAAAGCTTTCCATTCCCTCTTTGAGACTCTGAATTCATGACAACTCAACACTTGGTCACAGGCTAGAGACCCCACACACTGTCCTCTGCCAGCTAAGGAGTATGCTCACAGCTTGTTCTGAACACATCTATCACTGCTGAACTTCTCATAATCGCACAATTTTATTAAATATTATGGAAAACAAAAGAATAATTATAAAAAGGGAAGTTGTTTGTAGGAAGGCTACCACAGTCCTTCAATTCTGAGATGCACATTTTTTCACAAATCTTGAAAATCAGGATTCATACTCTAATCTTTGGGGTCTTAGAGTTCAGTGAAAAGGAAACATGCCCCAACTGGTGAAGTTCAGTGGATTGGGCGTGGTCCTGTGAACCAAAAGGTCACTGGTTTGACTCCTGGTCAGGGCACATGCCTGGGTTGCAGACCAGGCCCGCAACAGCATGTGAGAAGCAACTGATCAATGTTTCTCTCCCTCTGTTTCTCACTCTTTTTCTCTCTCTCTAAAAATGAATAAATCTTTTTTAAAAAAGGAAATGAAATAAAAATCTGCTTTTAAATTCAGTGTCTGAGGAAAAAAAAATATGACAGTGTGGGAGAATTGTGAATTTAGATTGTTTTGCAAGTATCTTTAAATCTGAGCTGTATTTAAAAGAATGGTGTATGAACTGGAAGATGCTGGGCATTGGCTTACGGAAGAAAGGTGACTCAAAACCTCAATCAGCTATCACATAGAAAGACTTAAAATGTCCATCATCAAGCTCATACAAAAATGTATAGGCATCATTTTTAATATTCCCAAATTTAACACACTTTTCCCCTGATTTACTGTCTAATGAGTGGTCCCGATGGCATCAAATCAGAGTGATTCTACAGAAAATTCGGGATGCAGTGGCTGAAATAATAGGCACGAAATCCCTGTCCCCAGCCTCTGGCATCAATAAGAGTTCATTGAGTGGTTTGCTCAACTCCACTAGATTCCAGGCTAACACTGCTACATGCAAACTCCAGCAGGGAAAAAACAAAAAAGCAAAGAGGAAATAAACACAACTTACAAATGAGTTAACACTTGGAGAACCCTGTAAGTTAACATTCAAGACCAACAAAATACAGGTACATAATATCATCACACCCAAAATGAGAGGATAAACTTACCTTCTTGCTGTGACACCTGTAGTTTCTGACCATTACAGAAGGCACCTTTTCCCTTCCTGCCTGTGTACATCTTGTCCTCCACACAACTGTAGACAACTCCAAATTCTATCTGCAGATGGAAAACCACTTTCCTTTACCAAACCTGGGTATTTTTCATCATGAAATCAATACTTAGTCTAAGAATGTAACAAGAAAATCTGATATACTGACAAATAATGTTTTCAAATGGCTACATGGTAGGACACTTAAAATGCTAATTTCTAGTTTAATCAGAGAGAAGAGGTCATCAGACTTGAATCCCTGACTTTTATCCATTTATAAACCTAAAAGCACCCACCTTAACCTCCTCCCTCTCACCCAGGTGAGAAGAGAGCTTTCCTGTTTTCTAAGGTGAATCCTTCCTCATGAGTATGATTCCTACCCTCTCATACTTCTTAGAAAAGCTGCTTCCTACTGATACCTTGTCTCTGGAATATCTATCTATTCTGGTACTTTCTCACCAAACTCTCCCTCCTTTACAAAACCTTCAAAATGTTATTTCTTTTCCCTTCACTGCCAAAGAGTAGTCCACACTTTGCATCTCCCATTCTCCTTTTATCTACTACAATTTGGCTTCCAAAAGACTGCCAGTGATTGCCAATGAACTCTTACGGGCCAAATGCCTTCTGTGAAGAACTGGAGACTGCTGACATCACCAAGGTTTCTTCCACATTTAATCCAGTAGCTCCGTGGCTCTGGCAGATCTTCTGTCCCCCTATGTCACTCACTAACCTATCTTGGTGTCATTTTTTTAGGATCCCCTTATCTGCATAACCTTTAGAAGTTGTGCACCTCAGGATTTTGTATTTTTCCACTTGCTTTTAGCTCTCTACAGTCCTCTAAGTTTGCTCTTTCTGGCCCACAAATCAACTGGGACTCATCAACTCCATCATCACAGATAAGAACCTCATCTTGTAAAAACCTCAACCAAAGAGGCCAAACACTCATTACCTGATCATGCCTCACTGAGGAATCCTTCCCCATTCTCCTACTTTAATATTTTATCTTGAAAACACTTCCTGATTCTGGCACTTCCTCAGCAATTCTCACTGCAGCATCTCAGTTCAGAATTACCGGCCCCTCCAATATAATCTGGACAAGCCTGGAAACACCCGTCACTCTACACTTAAAAACCTCTGCTGGTTTCCTCTGCCTAAAAACAAAATCTCAATGCTGTGGTGTAGTCAGGCCACAATATCACAATGGACCACCACTGACTTCTCTCATTGACCTTGAGGGCTTCACTCCTAACAACCATCTCACCATTCTCATACACATCATGCTCTTCTCCAAGCTGTTCTTTGTGATTGAAATACATTTCTTTTGTTCTTTATTTGTCAAGCTCTTCATTTTCTAAGACCCAAGCCACACAATGGAATATGAATCTTCTTTAGGAAAATCTCCCCAAGCTACTGCTGGAGTGCTGGTTCCATCCTCTTCCTGCTCTCATGATTTGTTTTTCCTAGTCCACCACGTATGACCCACATATCTAACTTTTGCACTAACTGGGAGCTCAATGGCAGGGACCTCACACAGTGCCAGGCTGAGTATACACTAAACATTCAGCTGCTTTGCTCATTTTCACTGATCACCACAACCCATGGCTAATTTCATTTGCACTAATATGTGTTTTCATTTTCAGAGACTTCTTAATTCTCTTCTGTACATGCTGATCAAATATATCACAAACTCTTTAAAGAAAGGTACATAAGATGATGATAAACATCATTCATTATTTGATCAAATAGCAGGGCAACGCAATAGCTACAGATTTTGTCCTACTGTGTTTACATACAGCAAGTATTAGGGCTCCTGAACACTCACCATCTTCCATGCATGCACGGCTCCTACCACTTCCTAGCCTTTCACAAACAACTATTAAAGCATTCCTACTTCAAATCTCACTTCTGCCATCAACCACTGTAGGTCATGCGTCAACTCTTCATGCAGCGGATTCTATCACATATGTAACAGTGATTACATACAGAAGTGTAGTTGTTACTTGTGGGTATTCCTTATAACTCTTGCTTCTCAAAAAAACATTAACTTTTTCTTCACTGGAAAAAGTATCATCATAATCTTAATACTCCTGTAGCTTATTTCAGAATAATGCAGCTGTCTAAATTGAATATAGAGACAAATCTAAACTTGTTAAGGAGATATATTTACTTTATCTCAGAAAATGACAGCAAGGTATTTTACCAACCATAAATTTAAACAGCATACCTTTTTATTGACAACAAAGCCGATTGAAACAGCAACAAAAGGAAATCTTTAAAAAAAAAAAACACATACAAATTTACCAGGATAGGACTTATTTTCATTAAACATGTTTCTTCCATAATATAATTGCTTACAAAATTTGTCATATAATCTCACTTCTTCTTCCCCAGAACAGTGTGTACAGTATGCAACCCTCTGTGTACACAGTGGGGGCGAGGGAGTCATATATACACATCACACACAGGAAACTTCTGCAAGCAGGATGCATCTCCGAGAGGTGTCACCAAGAAACCTGAAACAGTTCTCACCTTCAGAGATGGGTCCTGAAAAACTGGGGACAGAAGCAGGAGGCCACTTCATACTGCATGCCATTTTTATATTTTTTAATGTCAAATACCACAAATATAGTGACAATGTAAAAAAATCCTTTTTCAAAAAATAAAATGTATTTTAAAAGAGATTTTTAATTGGTTAAAAAGAAATGTCTCTTTTTTTTGGTTTCATTTCTACCCCAGCCTGGACCTATAAACACAGGCATGCATTATACAGAATAAATTGTTACTTGTCTCAATTCAAACTTGGAGCTCTACATCTGACAAGTAAACTGTTAGCAACAGGTACTACCATGGCTACATGACAGTTTTAAGACATAGGTTGTAATTTCTGACTCAGAAGAGAATCAAGATAGACAAAATGGATTAAATGTAACTACTAAAAATAAAAATGTTTAGAAATACTTAATAGTTTTCATGTGAACTAAAATGAGACGATACTATACATATTACATTATAATCTTGTCTCTGTTACAATATCCCATGAGCAGCCTTTCACATTCACATCCATCACATACAGAGCCCAGATCCTTGCTTTACAGACTTTATCAATTCTGTATTATACAGATATGTACAACTACATGGCAACTTCACATATAACGTCCGTGTAATCCCACCAAACAAAGCTGCTCATTTTAACTCTCACTGGCTCTCAATTCCAACAGGCTCTTTTCCAAACACTTGCTGTGTGCCAGGACTGTAATGCATCCTTGTAGAAATGCACTGCTCACTGAGTCTGCACAATTACATGAGGCAGTTACCATTAATATGGTCATTTTATAGATAACTTAAAAAAAAACAATTGGGGCTAAGAAAGGTTAAGAAACTTGCTCCATGTCACAAAGCCTATAGGCAAGCACCGAGATTCAAGCCAAAGACTTGCTCTTAAAACCCAAGCTCTTTTTAAACTTTTCCTCCTGGACTGAACCTCCAGTATCAATCCCATGAGCTCTGTAACTGATCTCAAAGCAGCAATGTTGCTTACTTTTATTTTTACCTGACTCCCACAGTGGGGGAAAAATGATGAACAGGGCACTGGATCACACAAGTCCCAGCAGTAATATTCCATCACCATATCTGATGGAAATTCTCATAACACATTCTACTCTATAAATTACACATTTTTCAAAAGTATGTATGTTTGTGAATGGAGCACTCTAAAGGTCCATTCTGTTCATATATACACAGTAATTACAACATTAAAAATTTTAAAACATACCTATGTACAAAGTTAGTTGTTCCATCGATAGGGTCAATGATCCATGTAGGGTTGTCAGTTAAGACACTTTTCTCCCCGGCGGCCACAGATTCTTCACCAATGAAACTAAAAGCAAGAGTGACTCTTTACACCACTTTCAACAAGTTTCAAACTTATCATTTCCTTAGCTACAGAGTCTATTAGAACATAACAAAAGTTTACACACCACACTTCTCTATCGTTGTTCCTTTTTTCTTCAGAATGATGAGCATGGGAAGACTTTACCTCCCCTGGAGCAGGCATGTGAAAAACAGCAGGACTGAAAACCCTACAGTGCGATGCCATGATGATCACAGACCCAAGAGCGATGAACACATGAGCAGAGTGCTGGTGGTAGATGAGAACTTAGCAGGGAATGTGGTAGTTTTAAGAATATGAAGAATATGCCCCCAGCTCTGGCTGGTGTGGCTCAGTGGATGGAGTGCTGGCCTGAGAACCAAAGGGTCGCCAGTTGGATTCCTGGTCAGGACATATGCCTGGGTTGCGGCGGGTCCCTGGTCGGGGCACACAAGAGGCAAGCACACATTGATGTTTCTCTCTCCCTCCTTACCCCTCTCTCTAAAAATAAAATCTTTTTTAAAAATAAATAAATAAAAATATGCCCCCAGTTTTTTCACCCACCTCTTTTCCAGAGACAGGGCTTAATGCTATTTGTCTTGAGTGTAAACTTGAACTTAGTGACTCATTTCTAAACAACAGAACAAAGCAGAAGTGCCAATGTGCAACCCTGAAGACTCTTCATAAACTGGCACTGTAGTTCACCTTATCCACTCTATCCCCCCGTCCCTACACATTCATACCCTGGGGGAGATTAGCCACCCTGTTTTGAGCTGCTCTAAGGAGAGACCCACATGGTGAGGAACTGAGAAAGTTGCCCACAGACCACCCAGCAGCAAGCGAAGTCACCAACAATCACCTAAGTGAACAGATCCTTCAGTGCCAGGGGAGGCCTGAGATGGCTGCAGGCCAGACGACAGTTTGCCTGTAACTTCATGACACCTGCGGCTAAGCTACTCTCATATTCCTGACCTTATAAAACACTGAGATAATAAGCGTTTTTGTCTAGAGCTGCTAAGGTTTAGGGTAATTTGCTATGCAACAATAGAGAACTCAAATAGAGAACATTAAAAAAGTCAACAAGAAGGCAAATTGCCCACCAAATTACTGTATCTACCTGTCTTCTTAAAATACACTATGCAATAAATCTTAGGTAAATTCTGGAAACAGCGTTTGATTTCATTGTTTTCTTTCCTTTCCTACTTTCATTTTTATATTTTTCCTTTATTCAATAATGAACTGTTCCAACAATCATTATTATGATCTTATCTCTTAGCTGTACACCTTTTTATTGAAAGGAAGTATATTTATTTAGCTAAAGCTTTAAAATGACCAGGAAGTAGAGAATGACAATGCTGATTCTTTAAAATGATGACAATATTTCTGCTCTACCCGTGCCTGTGCGAGAACCCTGACTGTAGCAGTTTCTTTCAAATTCCCTACAGTTACCATATAAAAAAAGTCTGCAATATAGAGAATAAAACTGAGCTTCTAAATCATGCCTGTGGCAGACAAATGTCACATCCGCTTCCCAGCATCTGAACACTCCTCTTCCTATGAGGAAAGCTCAATATCCCCTCTTGGTTGCTCCCCAGCCACTTGATCTTAGGCAAATAACTCAAGTTCCACGACCAAGTGTCCCTGGCCAGGATCTACAACCGTGTGCTCACAAGCCTCTGAGAAGGCATCAGAGTCAGGAGTGAGGTGACCAGCGGCCCACGCAGCCGAGGCTCCTGTGGAGTGTCCAGGTCCACCTCCCTCCCTGGTTCCTCCCCAGCCTCTGCTCTCAGGGCTGTGTGGAGCCACTCACACCCTCCAAAGACATTGCTTTTCAGGTTAAGTTAATGCAAGTGAATTTCTGTGTCTTGAATCAAAATTTTTTCTCATATGTTGACTCTAACCAGGTTTCATTTTTATCATTCAAAATTGAAATAATAAATACCTGTGTGATGGGTATTTTTCCTTTATGAAAGAGATAAGCATTTTTTCAACTTTTTGGTCAGTCACAGTTACCAAGTCAGCTGGAGAACTTTTAATCATAATGTTTACTTCATTTTTTAGAGCTTCACGAACCACCTAGAAAGAGTTTTTTGGTAAAACAGAAAAAACATATGTAATTTTAAGTTAAACTAAAAAATGAGATAGAGAAATGGTGTAAAACTGTCTTAAACATGATTCTTAAGAATTTCTTAGCACAAGGTGTAAAGTAAGCCTTTAGTGGTTATTATGTTCAAGGTACAAAAGCATAGAATGTTACATCCCATTTTAGATTCACAACTGTCATCATAAAAAGCTACTGACATAAAATTGGAGTATTCATTCCATTTACAGTGTCTAGAAAAATGAAAAGCAACGCAGGTATGTTTTATTTAACACAGCGGCCACAGGCTGCCCACCGCTGCTGCAGTGGGTGACCAGACGGTAGGTAGTTCGTACCTCTCCAGCTTGCCTTGCTAGAGTTACTGCATAATCCATGCATTCCTGCCAGGGATCAGCCATCTTCGAAACAGATTTAACACATATCAGAACACTGCAGTGACAAATCTCTAAAAGTCTTAATCACAGAATAGTTAGTTCATAAAAATATCGCAATTAGCAAAATACATTCATTTGGAATTCTTACCCCTTTCCTGATTCTAGAGTTCAATTTGTTTTCCCTATTCACTGGTAGATCCAGGAAAACACATTTCTACCTAAGTTACTCCACTTCTATTGTAGAAACATTTTTCGTAACAACAACAAAAACAAAAACAAAAAAACTCTATGAAAGTGTCTCCCAAAGTGCACAAATCATATCAGATTTAAAATAACATTGGCTTGGGGAATGAAGAAAGGACACAGAAGTATTTTCAAGGACAGGGACACCTGAAGGGGTTCAGAACATGTCTCCCCCAAATGTGTCATTTTGGCATGCAGAGTATTTTGAGCTGAAGGCAATAGGGGCCCAGAAGACACAGGAGGAGCTTTTACTGTCCCTTCATCTGCCAGTTTTGATTCTGTTTGGGAGCAGGCTGCACAGTTAAGCTCAGAGACTGACTTTTCATCTTTGGTACAGGTTTGCTGGGGGTATTTCTCAAGCCAACTGCATACAGGATAGTATCTCTTCACAAGCCAAACAAAGAAATGCCCCCCGCCCCAACAGGTGACAGGTTAATCTCACTAGTGATCCTGGCGAGAGGAGATGAGAGGAATGAAGTTCAAATTTTATCAGAGGTGTATCTTTTTATACCAGAAGGAGGAGGTACTCGGCAGTTCTACAAAGAAAATTTCAGGACCACAAGTAATAATAATAATAATAATAATAATAATAATAATAAAGCAAAAATTTCTTTCCCTGAGTTTCAGAGAGAAAAAAAAGCCCAAAATGTTTTGGTGTTCTGAGCTGTCTAGCTTTCCACTGACTGTTGAAGAGAAAACTAAAGTCACTCACCACTGGCGGGACCACACTCTATAGCCTGTACCTAGGACAGTGAAGCTTCTGAAGCTGTCAGGCTAAAAAATGTGGCATTATTTATAAAGCTACCCAAATTATGTCACCTTTATAACTGAAAATAGCTGATGGAGCTTCACTTTGACTCATCAGGCATCCCTGTCCCAGGTGCTCACACCGTAAGAAAAAGCAAAGGGCAGACACACTGAGCTGCTTCTGCCAGCTGCTATTTCTTCCTGAGATAAACACTTTAAAACTTTACAAAGGAAGTCACTGTTTAAGTTATAAAAGTAACTGCTTAGGGCACTTCTAGAGCTGCTTCTAAACTCTTCTGTATTTTTCATTCTTATTTACTCCTATTCCTCTTTTTTAGGATGAACAGAAGGCTTTGTTCCAGACAACCCTCTCCCTACCTTAGAGCAGTGACAATGCCCAGCATTCTTCCTGCCAGATGTCAATCTGTCCTTTCTTCTAGGGATCCTCCCCCAGAAGTCAGTGTATTTTTAATCATCCAGAACTATTTGCTGAATATTGTATGCTATGCACTGCACCACAGTTGATGCTGACTCTCTAGTGGGGACTTGGATGGACTACATGCCAAATCACTGATGCGACAAAGGCTAAGGAAAAGTGCAGAAAGAAGTATGTAAGAGGGAGCTCTGGCCAGCTCTAAGGTCTCAGATAAGGTTTCCCTGAGGATGCGCCTAGACCAAGATCAGAAGAACAAGTGAACGGATATTAACACAACTGCAGGGCACCTGGAAGTGAAGGGGGATGGAAAGGTCTCAGCAGGACAACTCAGAGATCAAGGGAAACAGGTGGGAAAGGCTGGGGCAAGAGCAGGGATCGTCCTGCTCAGGGCCTGAGAGATAACGCTTGGTTGTGAGCACCTGGAGGAATCCTTTCCTGGTGGCACTGAGCATGGACTGGAGGGTGGAGGGAAGGTAGAGAGTGGGCAGATCAGTTCAGAGATTCAGATTTACATCCCAATAGTCCAGAGGACACCTGATGGTTGGCTTACACCTGCAGGGACTGGGGTGGGAATGGGGTGGGGAAGGAGGTATTTGTCTCAGGAGGTAAAGTGGGGAGCACTCAGTAAGACTGGACTGGGGGTATGATGGACAGGAAAAGCTTAATAATGCCCAGATTTCCCACGTTGGCAACTGAACATATAAAGGGTTATCACAACAGGGAGCAACTGAAAGAAGTCAAGTTTGGAATTTGGGGAGGAAGCGGGGTGAGCAAGTTTAATTAGTGGAGTACCAGGGACCTTTGTGAAGCCAAAGAGACATATCCATTAGGCAGCTGGACATAAGGGATCCTGAGCTCAGAGGAGGAGTGCGGCCTGCATACAGAATTACAATCACCTGAGCAGGGAAACCGAGTCCTGAGTCTGGAGAATATTCCTTGCTCAGAGACTCCCACACTCGGCGACGTCTTCCTTACATTTCGGCCACGTATGTGCTTGCCTCGCCTTTCCAACCTCATTTCTTGATGGAAAGGACCACATTTGACCAACTGTCTCTTTCCCAGAGGCCTGAAGCATTTTCAACTGCTTCTGTCCTGGTCCCAGCCTGCCCGGCGGTGAGAGTCACACACCCTCCTCGCTGTCACTTGTATGTCCCCAAAAGTGCGACTACGGATCAAAGGGACCTAACGATGCCTAGGTGACCCCAGGCTGCGTCCAGTCCCCGAGTCGAAACTGGTGAAATGAAAGAGGGGGCTCGTTCTACAGAAGCTGCCACAAGGGTGCTGTGGGGTCGCTCGGCGCAGTGACTCAGGACAACGCCACAGGCCCCAGGCGCTGACCCCCGCCCCGCGCCAACCGCCCGCAGCAAGGCCCACCACCGAGCCCGCTGGGACCAACGCGGGGTGGCAGGAACACAGGCCTCACCTCGGTCCGCCGAGCGTTAGGCTCGCTGGTTTCAGGAAGGACTTGCAGCTCGAGTCTTCCAGAGGAAGAGATGTAGCCGGGACAGGAAATCCCGCCCCGCGGCCCGCCTACGGGGGTGTGGCTGCCGCGGCCCTCGCCCGCCGCAGAGCCCGGCCCTGCCCAGGCTGAATCTCACGGGCCAGCTCCACGTCTGCCTGGCTTCTTTCTCTTCTCTGGTTCTGATTGCCTCAGGCCTGCACTTCCTTCTGTACAGTTTTTTTTTTTTAATTCCTTTCGTCTTTATTCTGCGCATTCCTTCCCATTTTCCCTTCTCTTTCTCTCATTTATTCCAGAGTAGTCTCGACAAAACACAAATTGCAAATCTACTTCCAATTTTACAACTTTTATTTGCTAAGCCTGTAGTAGGCAGTAAATACACACACACACAATAGAAATTCTATATAAACCATAGAAATTATATATATTTAATAGGTAGATTGATAAGTGATGCCTAGAACCAACTGTTCCTATTCTCAATAATTCATTTGGTTACCATTTATTGAGGACTTACCAGGCTTCAGACAACTGCATTTTTATATGCATTATTTTACTTAAACGTTGCAACAGTTCCATGACAATTAGTTTAATCAAACAGACGAGGAAAATAAGGCCCAGAGAAGTTATTTGTCCTGAGGTCACAGAGCAAAGGCAGAGAGCAGGACATTCTGACTCTGAGTCCCCACTTGGGGACTATATGTCACAGTGATGCTGCATTGTATGAGATACAAGGACTAGTCTATGGTCCTTAGAGTTTCCTTCTCTTGATTTAACAGGTCTGACATCATGGGATATATACTGTTACCATTACAATGCAAAAAGCATTGCACAGATCCAAGAGGTCCTAGACACAACAGGATCAGGAAAGCAGGTTATTCATCTCCCTGCTTGCAAAGAGATTGATTCCCTATATTTGACCAAAAGACAGGGTGTTGTCAGCAACACATTGCACATGAAGAAGTTCCCAGAGATGAATGATCAATTCTCAAACTTCAGAAAAAGCCAAAACTTTGTTTTCATTCTTCTCAAGATTGATGGCTTAAGTATCTGAATTGGATACCTTCATTTGTCTAGCAAAAACATGCTTTTGTGTTCTTAATGAAAAAGAGAAATAAAACTTCAGAAATTAGCTTTTTTGGTTCTTTGTTGTCAGTTATCTTAAAATAAATTCTTGTCAACTACATGGTGATGTGTTGATTCATAGGCAAATAATATTTTCCAGGCATTTACAAAAATGTCATCAGAGTCCTTTTTAAACCTTCTTCAGTGAACGTGGTCCTACTCATAGAAGATTAAGTATCTTATTCTCTCAAAATGAAATCACCTAAAGCTTCCTACCTCAAATGAGCAGGAGGTCCAACCTTTTTCTAGGGGCCTCAGCTGTTGCCTCACATTGTTCTCAAGTGACTGACTGTTTTCAGTTCAAGAGGCCAATCTCCTCCCAGAACCCCTGCCTGAACACGAAATGGAGAGCACTCTAGTGCAGGTGTCCCCGATTGTAAAAGGGCCTCCAGCACAGCTCCCCTGAGAACCACCTCCTCTCTCCTCCTCACCCCTCCCCTTATACAGCCAGCGAAGTTCACCTGACATCCTGCCCCCATACCACCCTCAGCTCTGTCTCCCATGAAACCGGTCCCTGGTGTCAGGAAGGTTGGGGACCACTGCCTAGTGCACAGAGGGGGGGTTGGTGGGGGGGGTCGGGGTAGTGTTGCTCAGCTCTGGTTTGGGCTGCGTTGCAAACTGTTCCCCAAAATCCAAGAATTTTGTCTGAGAGTGGTCCGGATGGCTGCAGGGCCCTCAGTAATGGTGCATTGTTCTTTGGTTCTCAAAGGGGCAATTTTTAAAGCTACATTTGCCGTCATTGTTCCAAGTCACAAAAATCTACCAGGGTAAGGTGGTTGGGAGATGGGGAGGGGCCAGGTTCAAGCATCAGCCACACCAGGTAAGAGCAAAACCTGCCACCTGGTAAGGGGTCCAGGTCATAGTTCCCTCTTGGAGGCTTTTGATATCCCTTTTCGCCAGCTGACTTCCATCCTGGAGAGAGGTTTTCATTATGCTAAACCTCAGAATGGAAGAGAGGGGAGATCTAAAGCCCCTGACACCTCCTAGACACCTGACTGTACAGGAAGAGGCCTTTGGGGAAGGATGGCCTTTGTCAGGTCACAGAGTGCTCTGGTCGGGCTTCTGCAAATGGGGAATAGGTACCCAACTACCTTGTATTTGCATAATAAAGAGCAGTCACCAGGTGATTCCTTCCCAAGCAATCTTGGGTATCTTGCTAACCCAACTTACTCCCCAGAGGTGACCTGCTTGCAAGTGGCAACTCCCTTTCACTAAAATAAACAAACAAACAAACAAATAAATAATAAAAATTCAGGTTCACATCATAAGACTTTCCTGTCTTGGACTTTGATTAAAAATAAAATTTACCTGCATAATATGCAATGTGCAGGTTCTCAGGGAGTGGAGTCTCCCGAATATCTAATAGGATTTTCATGTTTTAATGTAAAATAGGTTGGAGCTGCAGATAATGGTTAAGCCCCTGACATGTCCTGTAATGCCAACAGCTTTCTGAGTTGATTGGAAGATCATCCTGTGCACCAGAAGGTTGTGGGTTTGATTCCTGGTCAGGGCACAAACCTGCGTTGCGGGTGCATGTATAGGAGACAACCAACTGATGTTTTTCTCTCATATAGATGTCTCTCTCAAATCAATAAATAACCATAGAAATTTATGCTTGGACAATGTTATCACAGAATCTACCCTTTTATGGGTTAGAAAGAAACTTTAAAAAAATAGCCTAATCCTTCTACCTCTGGATCTCTTTCTAACCAATCACAGTTGTGTTATATAATGCTTGGTATGAACTCACCATATAGATAGCATATTTTATGCACCTCATTCTTTAAAAAAAAAAAATACTTCAGTGACTTTATCCCAATCCAAATTAGATCAATTTTATTATGTAAAAATCTGTTTTCCACGATACATCTGAGACATAAAATATATTCCTAAACCCATCCATGCATTTTCAACTGCTTTTAACATGGAAGATCAATCAGGTTTGTAAAGTAACAGTAATGATGAGTTTACTGTGTGTTAGGCAGTGCTGAGGACCTTGCTCATATTAACTAATTTAATCCTCACAACAATAGCATGACGTAGGTAGGATCATTACCCACACTTTCCACATGAATTTATGCAGAGAGAGACTAGGCAATTTGACCAATGTCATCTAGCTGGTAGATGACAGAGCTGAAATTGCAGACCCAGGCACAGTCTGGCTCTGCAGCATATGATCTTGACCTTTATAGATATTACTGATTAAGTAATGCAATAAATGTTTAATGAGCACTACTCTGTTTGAGACATTGTGCTAAACACTAGAGGGAATTCAAAGAATATGGGGTCCCTGCACTCATGAAGCCCGTATTTTGGCCCTGGGCCGTGTTGTTCAGTTGGTTGGAACATTATCCCATAACCAAAAGGTTGCAGGTTCAATTCCCAGTCAAGGCACATACCTAGGTTGTGGGTTTGATCTCCAGTTTGACATGTAAGATCCCTGGTCCTGGCATGTATGGGAGGCAACAAATTCATGCTCCTTTCTCTCTCTCTCTTCCTTCCTCTCTAAAAGCAATGATAAAATGTCCTCGGGTGAGGATAAATTTTTTTTTTTTTAATTTTGGTTGCTTCCCTAACTATATCATTTGGATGTTGTTACTCTCATCAGTCTGAATTTTCTTCACTTTGCCCCATCACCCTGACCATGGTGCTAGGTCCTAGAATTTCATGCCAGAACCACAGACTTAGGAGTTGAGCAAGATCTTATACCTCAGTTGAATTTCTTTGTTTTATAGATGAAAACTGAAGTACAGAGAAGTGTCTTATTTAAGGTCACAAAGTTAATGAAAGGCAGGTTTCTCATCTCCCAGTCTAGTAAAATATGTTCATGGAAATGCATGTAAGTTAAATTTGTGTGAGCTTAATTATATTTTCAGCATCTAAGTGGACATTTCTGTTTGAAGGACTCAGTAGTAAAGATTCCATGTAAATATTTATCATTTTATGAATTGAATAATAACCAGCCATCACCATGCTGAAACACATCTTTTATAAGTCTTGGTATTCATATAATGAATTTAGTGAAATTAGAAAAAAAGAACTTTGGTTGTCTTATTGGCTGACAAACTAATTACCTAATACTATTAGAATTTACAAGATGCCTATTATGTGAACACCTCTTCTGTAAAAGTTTGGGATAGTCTCATAATTACAACAGGAGGTGTTTTTTAAATTGCTTTTTCCCACTTGCGAGACCATAATAAAGTATTACATTCCAATCCAACCCTATAAAATAGTCCCAACACAGCTACAAAGTGGTCTCCTTCTTCTGATCACCTGTATGATAATGTATATATTTTGATAATGTACATATTTCTCCCCCAGTGTCAAGTCTGCAATCAGATCATAAGTGGATTGAGAACAGGCATTATTTTAGATATTCTTTGAATCTCCCACAGTACTACCTCATTCAGAGTAGGAATTCTGTCATGCTTTGATTGTTAGATGAATGGAATTATTTTTTCTTTTATATTCTTTGATAAGGATTCATCTTTTCTTAGCCTTGTAGAACAGGAGGATCAGTAACATTTCACATGCAGAACACATAGCCACTGTCAAAGGAGCCAGAGCCACAGAAGCTAAGTCTGCCTTGGGCTGGGAAAGAGAGCTGGATAATGGCCAGAGCTAAGAAGCTATTTAGTATCCCACTTCCGATAGCAACAGTTTTACTCACAGGAAGGGGCAGCCTAGACATTTTAGCAAAGGAGTACCCAAATAGCAAACCCAGAGCAGGAACCAAGATACTAACAGAAGCACCTCTAGGTTAACTGTTTTAGGAAATATTAATCCCATTCTGAACATCAAATAAATCCCTACAGACATTAAAACTCAGAGGTCTAATGATTCTCTCTAGGATGTTTGTTTTCTCTGGTATTCTACACTTGATGACTTTTCCAGCCGATATAGGCACAAGTATGAAGAGGAGTGTTGACATAATTTTCAAAACAGGAATGTGGAATGTACCAGATAACCCTAACACCCTACTGTACCGGTAAGAATTGACAGGAGTCATTATAAGGGCCAACACTGTTGATGTGCAAGGCATCAAAATAGCCAAAGTGTTATCTCCTTCTAGAAGCAGAGCAAAGAGATAGCCCCAACCTCTTCCTGGGCATGCACAGGTCATTACAAATCCAAAAGCCTGTGCCTCAGGCAATGCCAAAATTTGTCAAAAGAAATCCACAAAATAGCATAAGAAAAAACTGTGTAACTGTGCCCAGCATTATTGGCAAAGGTCTCTTCCAAACTGTTTGAAACACCTGCAATTCAATCTTGCAACCAAATGCACATTTACTTAGCAGTATCATTGGCAGAATAAGCATTAGGATATTTCTATCCATATGCACTGATGCCTGGAAAAGACTGTCCTGTCTTTGTTTGAGCACTTTAACTCTGATATTCTTTATTTCTTCAATGAGTCTTTATTGCCTACCTTCAGAATCCCATAGTTGAATAGCCAAATTTGTCTCCCCTTCTTCCTCTGTCACTAGCTTTATGATGAAGTTTGTAGCATCCAAGAAGGTCTTGGTCATGTTCACCACCTGCAATTATTTTAGGATCTTCCACCTGCACAAAGGGGTAGCTGGAGTAGGGCCATTTATCCTTTAACTTGATCTGATGATGACTGTTTCTTCCATCTTTGTTAAGAATAGTACCTCAGACTTCTCCATATTAAAAAAACTGAGAAATTATTTCCTTGCTTCTCTCAGAGTCACACATGACAAAAAAAATTTTCTAATCATTTTGAATGATTAAATTAATCATATATGCAAAAGCACTAAAAACAACTAGAGAACATTCCTGGTAGAGACGTACCAATGCCGTGCTGAGACTGAGGCATGAGTTGTTTTGCTGGATCAAAGTACAGGAGGAAGAACTATGTACTTTCAAATATCAAGCTACCTAGCTAGTGACACAATCTGTCTCCCCTGTAGTTATGCGAATGTACAAGCCACAGCACATTACAGCTTCAATTTTTCACAGAAACCTAATCTTTCTTCCTTCCTCTTCTCTGCTAACAAAAAGAGCCCCCTATTCACATGAATTTAAAAACTTAGTGTCACCATTTTTGAGTTTTCTTTCTTCGTAAGGAAAAGCTACACTAGAAACAGTCAGGATCTGAAATACTAAAATAGACATTAAGGAGGTCTGCAAGCGGGTGTTCCTATTTTATTCATTCACACCAGAACTGAGTATTTACTGGCCCTGTTTGCTGGGGCACTGAGCTTGGAGCAGGTATAGCAGAGCAATCCAGCCCTATGCTCTCTCTACCACCTTGCAGTTCTCTCAGGTGGCCCCTTAGCATGACTTAGAAAACCAGAGCTCATGAATATTAGCCTTGCAGTATCCTTAGGCAGCTAATAGCTCTAAAGAATGGTTGCATCAGTTAGGCAAAATATGAAACTATTTTTTGGCATCCTTAAGTAGGAAAACAATTTCCTCATTACCAGATAGGTTGGGAACCTGGTGAAAGCAGGTGGCCGGGTCCATGGCCAAGGGACAGCCTGTTTAAGGGACCACTGCAGCTGGACACCAGTGAGCCTGACAAATGAGGCAATGGAATGTCACTGATACTCTCTTTCTCCTCCCTTGTAACACTTGTCCCTATTCACAGCAGAGAGCAAGGACATTCCACTGACCCAGCTGAGGTCATATGCATGTTCCTTGGCTGCCAGGAATAAGGAAAAGCATCAGGATTTTTTGGAATTCAGCCCACATACTCCCATGATTATGTATTTCCCACCAAGAGGGAGTCCTGATAGTATACAGGAAAAAGAAAAGAATAAGAAAAAAAATTGGCTCTAACCATCTTACTAAGCCTACAGATCTGGTAGTCTCTGAACATATAACCACTTCAGTAGATCCTTCATGTAATCAAGACAGAATCTGTGTTAAATTGCAACACGGACAGTTTGTAGTATTTTTATATCATGATGTTTGCTCCTCAAAAATTGTTAAAGCAATTTTTAAAGTTTTAGAAAATCTTACTTGCATAGGTTAATCTTTCACATGCAGTACAGTCAATATCTGAAACATTGAATGTCAACTAAAAACTAAGAAAATTTTGTTTTAAAAACTGCAATAACCCTGCAGTTCATAAATTGTATTTCCATGTACCACATCATGACATTGGCCCAAGGACACCATAGGGAATGTAACTGATGTTTCTGTGATATCTCAGAACTATTTGTGGTTTTTATACTTACAATTCTGGTTGTCAGCAAGGAGATAGAAACATACTAGGGCGGGGCTGGGAACACTCAAACCCTAAATTTCTTTGAGAGTACTCAACTGAGAGCCCTAAAAGGAAAGCTGAGAAAGCTGACTGATGTAATTTGGAAATGAGAAGCTGGGGAGCTTTTCTCTTGCCTGCAACCTGTTCTCCTTAGGGGACTGTTCATGCTGGGGCTGGTCCCTGGAGCCTTGGAGGATGCTGGTACTTGTGTCTGCCAGTTTGCCCCACTATCTGGAAATGGACCTAACTTACCACGGACGCCTACTGACACAGTCCTTCTCTCCATGACTCTGGTCTCCCTTCTATTTAGCCATTGACAGGCCTGCTTCCACATTCTCCTGGTGTAACTCAAGTTTCTGCCAGCCTTACGTGCCCTCTTCTCACTTGCATTGGAACTTTCTCTGTTAAATTTAGCCTTATATTCATGAGACAGATGTTAACTTCCTACCATGTACAAGTAATTATGACACACGCTAAGGTTATTTGTTTATGTTAAAACTTTCTGGTGTCTGGGAATAGATTTAAGTATTATTTCTACTTCTGGTCATACAGTTTGTGATACAAGAGCTATAGGAACAGAGCTACACTTACGATCCCTCTGTTCATTTGCTACTTGCCACACTGCTTTGCATTGTAGTTACCACGGCAACTAGAATCAAATCCTTACACATAGTAGGTATTTGAATAACTACACTAATAAATGAAATCATCAGCTAATGTAAGTAAGAAGCTATCCCCATTCTTTGCATGAAAATAACATGAAGGAAATATTAGAGATAAAATGAACAGTCTGAGTCTATTCCTTTAATTAAACCTAAACCTATTGTACATGTCCATGACAATTAAAATAGAAAAGGGACAAAGAACAAATAAATCAATTCTGCTGCGTCTACATAGCAGTCCTTTACTGAGAATGGAATATATCAGTCAGAGCATTAACTTGTCTGTAAAATGTGTCTACTTTTGGCATGTTTTTGCTTTGTTAGATATAAAGAGATTGCATTGAAGTTTAGCTACCTCATCTTTCTTCTCATTTGTAATATACTCATACAAACGAAAAAAGGTGGTAACTCCCTAGAAGAGAACCTTTATCAGAGATATGCCCCACAGCAGCTGAATGACACCAAGGAAATCATTTCCCCTTCCTCAGCCTGAGATTCCTCGTCCAAAACTTTGATGAGTAAATGACACAATCTCTCAGTTCCTCTGATTCATGTACACATATCAATTTATACATTATGATAGGCATAAGGTAAAGCTATACTGCCTGGCACCAGGGTGCTATGCTTGGCCATGGTACTTGCTTAAAGCAAATGTGATACACGTACCCTCTAAGAGCCACCTCTTTCTTCCTCTGCCAAAAGAATGGCAATGTCCCAAAAAGGACACCTGAACATTCAGTGCAGATGCTGATGTCAATTAACAGCTCATACCAACCCAATGAGACATTATTACAGCACAGTCTACTAAAAGCTAATTAAATACAACAATTTGCTAATAATTGAGTGTCAATTCATAGTTAAACTTTAAAACAAAAAACTTTAATGTACAGAGAACTGAAAATGGACATTATGACACAATGGAAAAAAATTTAAGCAACTTTTAAAAATAAAAATACATATAGTATTTACAGGAAAAGAAATGACTTCATATAGAATTTTCCTCATTGAATTCTTGAATGACTATTCCAAGTAAGAATCAACATTTTTTAAAAACCGTTCTTCCTCATTAAGATATTCCAAGACAATATTTCCACCATTATATAAAGGACAATCCTCCTTAGCAATCCAGCTTTCCAAAGTATGATCCAAGGGTAATACTTCTCCTGAAGTCATGTGACATAACCTTAATTTCTGTTAAAAGAGAAATAAAGCACATTAAAATAAACAAAGATGCTTATGTAGCATATCCTAAAACTTCTAGGGAAAAGTTATTATAACCAGTTGTTACCTTGGCTGCTAATTTGTTATTGTTGTTTTTGAGACTGGCTAAAGAAGCTGCAAAGTCGATGACCTTCCCAATGCTCCATCGGCGGCAAAAGAACATTGGTTTGCTCTTCTCTTTGCTTTCCTTGGGTAAGAAAACCTGCAAGTAAATTCTTTCTGTCTGTAAAAATAAAAAAGGTAAAATACAGATTACATGCATGAACTAGTTTTCTGTTTTTGTCTGGTGACATCTCTTCCTCTCTTCTCTTAGTCAGAGAGGGACTATCCTCTAATGTGTAGCCCAGCAGCCACCTAAATTCATGGGAATAGGATTCAAGACCCTGACAGGGTGATCTGTACAAAGACAGGTATGTGATCTAAAGTAGGCCAACCAAGGTCTTTTCCTGGAATTCCACATTCAAAAGGTGGAGGAGGAAAGGGAGAGCTCTTTCTCCAGAGTTTTTAGTCTTTGAATTAAACTTGGAATTGCCTGCAGCTATCCTCCAGGCCTCTCTGCTGTTCCTGAAATAATGTGGAAAAAAGTCTCCTCAAATTGGAAAGAATGAGTCCAATACAGACAGAGACGTCAAGGGCACAATGGACTAATTCAACTGCATCTGATTCCTGGAATTCAGTCATTCCTAGAGACCAGATCAAAGCCACTCCCCATCACATAAGGGATAAAAGTTGTTTTGATTAAACTAGTTGGTATCGAGTTTCTGTCACTTGAAGTTGAAAGATCCCTGAAACATAACACATGTCTTTTCATGCGAAAGACCTCACAACTATTTAGAGACAGCAGGGCTTTTGAGAATAAAGTAAAAAACAAACAAACAAACAAACAAAACAAAAAGAAAAGAAAAACAGACAAGTACCATTATCAATAAAAAAGAAGGACTCATAGATTTGGATGGTTCCTCTAATATTCTATACCCTATATACTCCCTTATATTGTATTTTCTTGCTAAATTAATAAATGCACACAGAAAAAAGGGAATAAGGGCAACAGTGTTTGGCCTTGGATAGCACTTGATTCCTAAAAATAGCTTTAAAAAAGTACTGACTTTGTAACAGGGGGATCTGGCCAGGTCACTGGGCAAAGGGAGGTACCCGGAGAGGTGTCAGGAAGTGCTGAAGGTGACAGGATTGAAGCTGCAGCAGGCACATGACTCCATTTCTTTGGGTGAGAGTAAACAAATGAGTGTATGATACTCAGCCCCAGGCAGAGATGCTGTACCCCTGCGCACAGCTACAAAATCCTCCTGTCCACTTTCGGATCATGACGATGGGAGGAGGGGCAGAGAAGCTGCAGAGGCTGACATGCACCTGTCTATTCCATGGGATTGGCTAGAAAAGCTGGATGCTCCCACAGCGTGCAGGATTTTGGGGCACAAGATTTAACCAGAAGGCGCAGAGTCTCAGCCCCTTTTGCATTCCCCTCGCTTGCCCAGTCAGGGTGGGCTAGAGTGTTCCTGGGACCCAGTGGATACCAGGCCCACTTGTGGTTCTTGCCTTGCCCTTGCTCACCCTGTTGGGAGCAGGCTTACTGGGACACACATCTTGTTGGCAACAGCCCATGGGACGTTGTAGCTCCACACCACATGGCACAACTCCTGGACTGTGCTCCCATTCTTTTGTTCTGAGAGCAGCCCACAGACACGCAGGCTATAAACATTCACCAACATCAAGGGCGTGACCAGCTTGGATGCGGGGGCCCCCTGGATGGAGCCCCTCGCATGAAGGCTACAGTGATTTGGCAGAGCATCCCATCCTGGGACAGGGAGGAAGCTGCTGCAATGCAATGGTGACGCTGGCCCCACAAGTGCACACTCAGGGAGAAAAAGAGCCTGAATCTGGACAGGAGGAAACCTGTTTGCATTAACAGCCTTGGTCTCCAGGAGGACAGGTTAAGAATGGAGCAGAGTGTCTGATTCTGGTACCGGGGCGGGGGGGATGGCTCGCTTCTATGTTTTGCAGAATAGATTGGCTTGGAGCCAGTACTTCCCCATATTGCACAACATTTTAATAAAAAGTTTTTTGCTTCCCCACCACTTTTTGTGTTACGCTTGTGTTCTGCCACAGGCAGCTGAATCCCACTCTGTTCAGTAACAGCTTTACACACCAGTTATTGTCACAATAAAATTTTTGATATAAGAGGAGCATCTCTAAGTTGTAGAAGAAAGATTACAATTATTTTAAGAAATATTAGAATCAAGACAATTCCCATCCCAGCACTAAAGAATATAGATTTGTTGAAGACCAGTGGAGTATATTATTACATATAATGAATACTAAAAGAAAAAATAGAAATTATTGGAAATTCAAGTTTTGGGGAACTACTCTATCACCTAGTAGTTCCTGCTCCAAAATCATACTAATAAATACTAATACTAGTATACATATGAAAAGAGAATATTAAAAAATATAGCCTCACCTAAAAAAAAAAAAGTCCAAAATGTAAAAATGAAACGGAAAAGCAAAAGAGTGGGAGCAGTAAGAGACATAGAAAGAACCTCCTGTTCAACACAAACATGTACAATCTGTAAACTGAAATTTCAAAACAAATCAAATATGAAAATAACTAGACTCGAAAAAAAAGACTTTTAAAAAAAGTTATTTAGGTCCCTGGCCAGGTAGCTCATTTGATTGGAGCATCTTCCCAATATGCCAAAGTTGAAGATTCAATCCCAGGTCAGGGCATATGCAAGACTAAACCAATGGAAGCATAAACAGGTGGAAAAACAAATCAGTGTTTCTCTCTCTCTCTCTCTCTCAAAATTAATAAACTTTAAAGTTATTTAGGATGCACATTAAGATAAATTAAGGAATATCTATGACAAAGTAACAAGAAGCTATGAAACCAAAACAGGCAGAAATAAAAGAAGAAAGGCTATAAATATCTAATAACAAATATAAACATTAAAAAATAAAGTTTCTAAAATAAAAAACTCAGGATAAATTTCTATAATCTCTCATAAAAAATCTCACTTGATTAGAAGATAGATTTGAGGAAGTCAAAAAAACTTCAAAAAAGGAATAGTAAGTAAGGATAATCACTAAAAGACGACGACTACCATCAATGGTTTCTAAACCAGCATAATAAAAGAAACTGTAGAAAATTCAATCAATTCAAAAGATAACAGGAAAGAGAAATAAAAGGATGATGAGCAAAAACCCTAAGATGGAAGAAATACATCCAAATGTACCAGTAATCACAATAAATATAAATGGATTCAACTCACCTACAAAAGAGGGATACTATCAAACTGTATTAAAAAAACAAAGCCCAGCTATATGCTGCTTATAAGAGACACTCTAAAACAAAACAACAAAGAAAACGGAATATGATGAAGACCGATGTAATAGTTAAATATTAAAAGAAAACTAGTAAAACAATACTATTACAATTCAAAATAGCATTTAAGGCAAAATTCATAAATAAGATATAACAATGAAGGAATTCCACACAGCTGATAATATACAACTCAGCAAAACCATTAGAATTTTAAGAAAAAAAACCTGACAAGCACCACATCTACAGGAGATTTTAAAACATCTGTATCAAAAACTGATAGTTAAGCAGGTGAAAAAATTAGTATTCACGCACACATACAAACAAAGGCACACATATGTAGACATGTATACAGAGAGAGTGCAAATGATAAAGTAAATAGGGCAAAATGTAAGTAATTGGTACATTTGAGTAAAGAATTATGGAAAAATTCTTTGCACTATTCTTGCAACTATTCTGTGTTTGAAATTGTGTCAAATTACAGTTACCTAAAAAACTCATTCAAACAAGTAAGTTGAAAATGGATAAGTTCACCACTGAATGAAAAGTTGAAAAAAGAACATCAGAGAAAATGTGAACAAAAAAATAAAAAAGAAAAGGAAATGATAATGTATGAGCAGAATTTAGTGAGAGAAAGCAAAGAAACAATACAGAGGTCAGTAAAATCAAAATATGGTTCTCTGAAAAGACTAAAATATAAAAAAAATAAACACAAACCTCTGAGAAGACTGTTCAGGGAGAAAACAAAGAAAAATACAAGTGAAAAATATTAAGAATGAAATGGAATGACTAAAGACTCAGAAGAGGTTTTGGAACGTAAGAAAATAAGTTGAATAACTGCAACAGTTAACTGGAAAATCTACATTGGGAATTTTTAAGAAAAATATTATTTACCAAAACTTATTTCAGGAGCAGTAGATTATCCAAATAAACCAAGAACTAGTTAATATTTTGAAATAGTACTAAACATTCTCCTCTCAAAAAGGGGTAAATTCAAAGACTGTGATAACTATTAACAAACCTTCAAGAACAAAGAAGGTTTGTCCCCACCTCTACAACTATTTTGAAGAATAGAAAATGGAAAGCTACCCAACTACTTTTATAAGTACAATCTGGCTCCTAATGTCACAAAATAACACTAAATAATATACTAGAAAATCAATGTAGCAATGAATTTTAAAAGAATTATATATATATGAGTCGAGTGGTTTATCTCGGAATATGTAGGTGATTCAACAACAGAAAAAAAATCAATCAACATAATTTATCACATTTATAAAGAAAAAAATCTCAACATGATCATCTTATTAGATATAGGAAAAAACTTATAGAAAAACTTAATACCTATTTATGATATAAATTCCTAGCAAACTAGGAATAGGAAGAAATATCATTAACCTGAAAAAGGCTACTATCAGAAACATAAAGATCATATTTAATGTTAAAACTTCAAAATCATTTGGATTAAAATTAAAAATGTGATAAAGATGCCCACTATCACCCATATTATTCAATATTGTTCTGGAGAGATAAACCAATGAATTAAGACAAATAATGATGAAAAGGAGGAGGAGTAAGCAGAAAGAAAATTTGAAAAAAAAACCCCTGAAGCACAAAACTGTCATTTGCAGAAAATAATAACTGCTTAGAAAAGTTCCCAGAAAATTTATAAACTGTGGGAACAATTAGAGGTCTCTTTGCTGGATAGAAGGACAGTATTAAAAAACCAGCAATAACCAATTAAGAAAACATTAATTTAAAAGTTATTATTTACAGTAGCAGCAAAAATTATGAAGTGCTTAGAAAATACCTAAGCAAAGATATATATGTTAAGCATTATAGATATTAAAGACAGAAAAGAAGACCTAAAGAAAAATGGGAATGATAGACCATAACACAGATGAGAAGAGTCAAAACTCTAAAGAGGTAAACCATTCTAATAGAAAATTCAGCACAACTTCTATCAAGCACAATTCCACAGAACAGGACAAAGTGATCCTAAAATTTTTACAAAAGAATAAATGGTCAAGAATAGATATAGCTGAAAGCAAAATATAAAGTGGAGAGATTTGTCCTACTCATTATACAGCCATGATAATTAAGACAGTTTGGTATTGACGTGCGGATAGAAAAAGAGGAACTGAATTGAGATTCCTAAATTAGTCTCACATGTATGGAACAATATGGTGGGTGACAGAGGTGTAATTACAAGAATGAATCTCAGTATCTTACGTTATGACAATAGGTAATACATCCAAGTATGGGTGTGTATTTGTACTTGTGGAAATCTTTACCTCTACTTATTTACAATTAATTTCCAAATGGAATAAAGAGTTAAATGAAATAATCAAGTAAAAGAAAACTTTTAATGGAATATATAAGAAAATATCTTAAACAATTTATTTTGAAAAGTACCAGTCTTAAAGAAACCATTAATAAATTTGAATGTATTAAAATTTTAAAAGTCTGGACTACTAAAGAGATAAAAAACAAAGAGAAGACAAACCGCAGACTAAGGGAAGATATGTACAACATTTAATAAAAAAATTCAGAACATCTGCCCTGGCTGGTATGCCTCAGTGGATTAAGTGCCGGCTTGCCACCCAAAAGGTCACCAGTTGGATTCCCAGTCTGGGCACATGCCTGGGTTGCGGACCAGGTCCCCAGGAGGGACCATGCAAGAGGCAACCACACACTGATGTTTCTCTCCCTTTCTCCTTTCCTTCCCCTCTCTCTAAAAATAAATAAAATCTTAAAAAAAATTCAGAACATCTAAAGAATTTCATAAATTTATTTTTAAAAAGTACCAAACAACCCAACAGAAAAAGTGGGGAAAAGATATGAACAAATACAGAAGAAAGTCAACAGTCAATAAACTTATGCAATATAGCTGAACCTCAGTTGTCAAAAGGCAATTTAACTTTAAATGTCAGTGAGATATAACTTCACATCTCAGGGGTTATAAAATCAATGCTCTTCAAAATAAAACAGAATAAAGAAAAATCAAGAGTATGTAACACAGTTGTAAGGCTAGGTGAAACCATGTTAAGGTATGCATGTATGTACTGGGTTGTTGTATAAAATGTAACTGATATTATGGAACTTTAAAGCGATTGCCCTAGAGAAATGTTCCCACGTACATAGAAGGACATTCACTGTTGAACAATTCACAGTAGCAAAAAAAAACCCAACTTGGAAAAATTCTGAATATTGTTTATTAAGAGAATGAATAAATGTTTCATATTCATACTATGGAATATGCAGCTATCAAGATGAACAAACTAGACTAAATGGCTCAATGTGAATAAATGCTAAAAACATGATGACAAGTGGAAAAAAACTGAAAAAGGATACATACGGTGCCCTGCTATTTCTATAAAGTGAAAAACCTCAAAAAACTATGTATCATTTATTTATGTAGCAACACACCATGTAACACTAAGAATGACACATACCAGACTTAGGTTAGTTGTTACTAGGTGGGAGGGAGGAATAGAGAGGGGCTTCAACTATATCTAAACATTTTTGTTTTTCAAAGACTCTAAGACCAACCTGTGGCAATGACTTATCTCCTTCAGCATGCATCTTTAATTTCATCAATGCTACCATTGCAGTTGTTGCACTATTTTTTGCACCCTTCCGTCGCTTAACTGCTATCTCTCCTGTCTTGGAATCTAAGAAACAAGAATAAGCATATAAGCACGTAAGAATATTTATATTACATTTTCCAGAGTTTTATTAATTATTACTTATTTATTATGGCCCTGAAATGTACAGAAATTACACACAATGGAGATATAGGCAACATTCATTGTGTAGGTGTTACATTTACATAATCAATGGAAAAATACCACTGAGGTTGATTTCCACATCAAAAAAACTCACTGTTACGTGCTTCTTTCCAGTTTAAGCCTACGTAATCCAATCACTAACACTTCTACAGAGAACTTTAAGATTTGGTTATAGAAGATTTTAATAAAGAAGATTTAATACATTTTCAGTATCCTTAACAGAGAATGAAAATTCTGCTGAATGAGTACGTTGGCAGAGAGACTGGTCTAAGATAAAGATACATTCTCTCCTGGTACCTGAGATTATCGGTAGCATTCACAGGACAGCGGACTAGGCTTAAAATTTAGTCTTGAGAGGCTACAAACCACTACTTTAACCTCATGAATACCATTTCTAGTCGTGATGGTTAACCATCTGATCTAAGTGGCCCAGCAAGAGAACATCTACCTGGTAGGGAACTTGCATGGAATTTCCAAATTGGTCAGATGGGTCTCGTGAGAAATACTGATACAAAAATGTCATCAAAATCTATTGCAAGTTGCAACCATAGGGGCTGTTAACACCTTCCATACTGAAAAGCTGGCATAAGAAGCAGGCACTTTGGAACTGATAGAGTATATAGCAATAAGAAAAACAATGAAACAAGCTTTCTTGATACTTGCCAATAATATCTTTAACAAGTTTCTGAGTGGCTGCCATCTGAGGCTTAGAGATTTCCAACTTTTCACATTCATGATCTGACTGATGACGGTGTCTATGAGCAATAGAAGAGTGACACTAGTTCAAGTATCTGCGTACAAAATGAAACAGATATACAGAATTTTAATGCTTTGAGTGATTACCTCAGGCAAAAATTCTTCTCACAGTAAGGACAGATGACTGGTACAAGCTCTTTTTCAACACAGTCCTTAAAGGAGCATGGATAAGGTTCATGCGTATCTGACTTCAGTTTCTCCTTGATTGTAGTTACCTGGAAATGTAAAAAAGAAAAAAAGGGGGGGAATGGCATATTTCACAAATTTATTTTGGAAGGTTGCTTAAACTTATAAGAGCAACTTAGACACACAAAACATTATAATAATATTTGTGAGAAGTAATTATTGTGTTGATTGTTGTACATTTTCATATTTTGCCTATGGTGGTATCTTAATCTTCCAAGTCAAGTTAAAATAACTACTCAGTTACTCTTTATTATTTTAGTCTTCTACTTTGTAACAGTCCAATACAAAGATGCCTCCAGTAATACACTCAGGTACTCACCTTATCATCAGCCTTCAACTGGCAAGTCATACCTACTTTCTACATCAACCTTAAGTAATTAAATATACATGTGAACACGTAAAAATTATGTTTATCCATGATACAGAAGGTTAAAGACAGTTTTCATAATGATATACTATATTCTCGATTATTTAATATTGTATTGCCAGCAAATATTACATCAAAGGAAGATGAGATGTTATAAGATCAGCCAGGTTATTTTGAGTACAGGTGCTCCCCACTATTCGAAAGTAGTTCAGCATCCCTATGAAACTGTGCATAAGCTGAAATGGCTTAAAGCAAAGAAGCAATTACCACTAATTTATATGGAAAACTTTTTTAGTGTTCTCAGACCACAAAATGGGTCTCCCAGATGCTCAGATGCAGTTCAAAGCTATGGGGGCTTAATGCTGAGATGCCAAGCGTGGTTCTTGGGGAAGGAGCTTGGTGGGGCCACTCTCACAGCTCAGGTAAGTGCTGCCTATTCAGTGAATGGCTCACTGCAAAACAAATGCTAAACGCTACTTTCACTCTCTGCCTTTTATTGTAATTGTGAAAAAATCCTTTTTGGATTTCTTTCACTTAGCAAAAACAGACAATAATGTGAGTCATAAAAGTGAATGAGCTTAAGGTAAACTTTAAAAAAAACGGGGGGGGGGAGGGGATTAGCGGGGGGGACCGGTATTAAGTAACTGTTTCTAGAGTTGCATGAACTTATGGAAATAACTGCTTGAAATCTACAATCAAAGGACATCCCTCTATATCAATCATATTTACATCTTGTTGGAACTGAATTAACTATTTTTCCAAATGTGTTCCAACAGTCTTAAGGTAAATGATTTTTTTTTCACTAATTAAAAGATCTACTTGAGACATTCTGTGAGAGACATTCATAGGAAAGCAAATAATATCATAAGAAAAAGGAAAGCGCAGGGTAGATTAACAAGCTGTGTAAGAAACATTAGTATGTTTAACTATAGGACTCCAAATGAGTATTTCCTTCCAGTTAATCCTGCGTAATGCCAACATGTTTGTTAATTTTTAGTTCCCTCAGAGAAATCCCCTAAACTTCACAGGGCCAGATTTTGACTGAAGCTCATTTAAACTTAATTTTCTGTAATTGAGAGAACAGATGTAGAAATCCTTGGTAAAGTGCTAGGTAAATGGCGAGGAGGAATAAATATCCACTGTAAAGTGTGAAGCAAATGATTCTTTCCAAACTGAGTGAATTCAGTTTAACTTCCTTCTCCTTTCTGACTCAAGGAAGCTCAAATTTGAGAAAACTACTTGGCGTGTGGTGGATTCAGCCTTCTCCTTTTTTTGGTATTCGAACTAAACTTGGATTTCAAGGAGATGGCTTAAGATGGCCCAGCACTGCTGTGACCAGCAGGCAATCTGCCTAATTCTGGCTTTCCTTTGCAGACCTATTGGGCTCTCACTAAACTTTATCATTCATTTTATCCTTTATCAATAATAAAAATGATATTTTGGTTCCTATCTGCCAGACCTTCTCTTAATCTCTCCATTTGGTCAGAATTAGAATGGGATTTTATTGGACCATAGGTTCGTTCCTGGTGGTCCAATGTTCACTAAGTCAGAACAATCCTAATGCCAGACACCAGTAAAGATTAGCACAGAGGCAAAGAAAACTGGGAGGAATATATGATGAGGGTGTTAATTCAATTTTAGATCTATAAATGTAGGGCCTAAAGCTGGAAGTAGGCCACCCAAACTGAACTGAAATGTAAAGAAATAAGAATTATGAGAATAAAAATGTATAAATACCAAGTAGACCAATTTTCCTTTTTAACTGAGAAAAATATAAATAAAGCAAAACCCTCTGCATAATGAGCTTAGTATGCCAAATTTTAATCTGCTATACACTGATGGTTTGAAATCTCTTCAATATCTGAGGAAAAGTACATAAAAACAAATGTTATCAGATAGGAGAACTATTAACATACCTCAGAACAGCTGTGTGACTCTCTGCTTCTGTGTTCAAGGCTTAAATAATTTTAAAAAGTGTTTATTTAAATGCAATCAAATAATGTAAAGATAACTGCAATAATTTGATATATTTCAAGGGTTAGTATCCTTAAGATTAATTACACTTGTGCTACATTAAGAACTCTACGTATAGGGATAAATGAATACCAGATAAACATAGAGCAGCTACTGTCTCAAAAGTTTTAAAGCAAAACCATTCAACTTCCATGTGAATAAAAACAATTCACCGCTCTAAATTACCTTTACTCTGATGTGCTTTCAAGTGTGAGAAGACAAACAATCCATTGATTCCTTTTATTTCTAAAGCCCATCAATAATAAACGGTCAAAGAAGTGCTCTAGTTCTTAAAATATGATTTTAAAATGTGTTACTTTACAGCTAATAAATCTTTCTGAATTATCTTCTGAAAAGAACTTATTCTTTCAGTGCTTTGTTTAGTAAATTAAATGCCTGATTCATCAAAGTGTAGCTGCAAAGAAAATACATTTTCCAAAATCCTTGGTTAGTTCCCAGGTTTTACTTTGTATGTTATGTGTGGGCACTGGTCACATGATCCAACTGAAGAAATGTATGGGTTGGGCTATTTTCATTTTATTAACTAAAATAAAGAGTAATAATCACAACTGGATTTTTCCCCCACATTCTTTATATTGTGACATGTTCTCTCCTAGTAATTAAAATACACAAATACAAGTTTTACACACACAGAAAAATCACACACAAATAATGCCATCTATGAAGTTGAAAGATTAGCCAAATATATGCACAAATAGTCAGGGCTTATGACTATTCTGTTTGCTTTTTTCCAAGTGATTATCGTAATGAGTATCAAATATCAACAGCTAAAGTAAGAACTGTTTTAATTCATTCTGCTCTTCAGAAATACACTTTATATTACAAACATTAAAATTACTCTCAAGTCCCACATAAAAACGTAACTTACCAAAATATTCGTGAACAACCATCACATACAAATGGAAGGAAATCTAAAATTGAGGGAAAATGTTACATGCACTGGTCAGTGTTTGGTTTTGATTTAGTTTTCTTGAGCATAAGGAATCTCCAAGTCCTGAACCACCTCCATAGAATAACTTTCATTTTTGACCAATATTCTAGTGTAGCAAGTAGTGGTTAAACAAAAGCCATCACAACCTCAATTACTTCTGGGAGAAAATACCTAGATCATCAGGAGATAAATGTTACTTGTAGTAGCATACTAAATCCAAAAAAAAATTATGGGTTTTTTTTGGTGGCGGGGTATTTGTTTTTGTTTCCCAGATTTAGTAGGTGTTTTTGAGGACTGCATACTGCAAAAAATCCTGTATTTTAAGTGAAAAACCTTGGTTTCAATTCTGATTTCACTGCATACTAATTTAGCAATGCTAGGCAAGTTACTTAACAGTAGAGCTTTGGAAATTTTATATAGAAATATAACCCTGGCTGGTGGGGTTCAGTGGACTGAGTGCTGCCCTGCGAACCAAAGGGTCGCTGATTCCATTCCCAGTCGGGGCACATGCCTGGGTTGCCTGCCAGGCCTCCAGGAGGGGGTGCGTGAGAGGCAACCACACACTGATGTTTCTCTCCCTTTCTTTCTCCCTCCCTTCCCCTCTCTCTAAAAGTAAATAATCTTAAAAATATATATATTTTATAGTATAGTGTATTATATATTTAGAAACACATGTATATATGTATACATGCACAAAACCAAAGCCCTATTACTAGGTAATATAGAAATATAGATATAAGTATATAGTGTCTGTGTGTATATGTGTATATATCTATGCTATATGCTATATCTACTTCACAAAGTGATAAAAACCAAATGATATATGTAAAAGATATAAATAGTAGGATAGTAACTATAATTCCCAAAGATAATTACAACAATTGTCTTGAATATATTCACTCTGAGAAAAATACTGTGGTGACGAGATGTTTTTAAAGAAATTCCAGAAATTCAATAGATTGATACTGCAAAATTTAATCCTGAATTATGTTTTTCCTTGATATTGGGGAAAATTAAGTTAGAACTAACAAACAACTAAGTTAGGAAGAGAATTTTTGGAAAGTGCAGGGAAGTATCCATTCTCGGATGTGGCAAGTGAGTATTAATCACCAGATACAATCAGTTACTCTCTAAATTGGTTTCAACGTACTCCATATTATAGTTTATAGCCAAGTAAGGCTGGACACATCCAATCACACCATTTTTACAAAATGAAAAGACAGTGCACTTTGGAGAAAGCTGCAATTTCCCCCGCCCCCTATCTCCTGCGAAGATCTCATTCTACAAGTTATCTCAATAGGCAACAGAAAGAAGGGATCTTATAACCGAAAGGGACCCCTGGGTAACTGTGGGACGTGCGGGCCCAAATACGGTTCTTCCTTCACCTCGGAACTGCGCTTAATGAACTGGTGTCACTGGTATTCTGACTACAGGATTCTGTGCGCATGCTTCATACCAAGAAAGCCTACCTAGTAGGGATGCTGTCTTTCTGTCCACAGCCCACATAAGCTATCACTCATCAGTTGTGGCACTCCCACTGATCCCGGCTGAACCTCAGATTGCTTCTCAACAGAGACTCAGATACTTGCTGCCAATGACAGAAGAAGCTGCAATGGGAGATGAAACCTATTTGCCACACTTTTGTAGTGTGAGCCAAATGTGAGAGCACACTGGAAATTGAAACCCAGGTACCAAGGACTGAGGTTGCTGTGTGCTGTAATTTTTCAGGAGCGTGCCTGCAAAAGAAGTGTGAAATCCTTAAAGCCTGCGCCACACTGCCCTGCGCGGGCTAGTGGATGGGCTCTGTGGACCACGGGTCTCCCAGCTCAGGAGACAGAGATCACATTATTAATGCTCTAAAATGAAGCTTATACCAGTCTGTAGGCTGTTCTAAGAAAAGCCTTCTGTAGTCTCAGCCTCAAACTAGCTGCTCGGTAGATGGTTGCTGATTGGGTGACAATCGGAATGCAAGACTGCCAGAGCTGGGAGACATCGTCACCCGACAGAAGAGTCTGGGGATCAAAGTCCCTTTGAGAATACGTTAAAAGCTAAACGCGTCGCGCTACAAGGTCGTCTCGAGAGGCCGTGAAACCAGGTTACAACTGATCTCGCCCGCTGCCTTCGTCTGACAATAAGTAACAGATTAAGCAAGAAGTCTGGGGAAGAGAAGAGGCTTGCCCCAGGGCGCTGCGGCAGCGCCAGCGAGGAGCTCCAGCCTCCCCCCGTGCGCCTTCTCGGCGAGCGCGCTCGAAAACCCAGGTGCACGCCCAGGTGTGTTTCCAGGAGTCGCTGGGTTTTGGAGACCACGCAAAGGAGACTACGAATCTCCCAGAAGAAGGGCCAGCGCAGCTCGCCGCACACAATGGAGGTCGCGCCCACCCAGGCCTCCCCTCTACCGCCGCCACCATCCGGGGGGGCCAGAGCCGGGACCGACTCTGCCATCACCTCGCTTCCGGCAGTGCTCCAATTGGCAGTGCTGCCCAATGTCCAGCTCCGCCATTACCTCAACGCCACGAGGGGAGGGGCTGAACGCAGGGGCGAGGCCACGGTGCGCACGGTGCGCGCGGCGCTTGCTGGGAACGTGGAGAAGCCAGGGGCTGAGCCCTCGAGTGGGGGCGGGGCCAGGGCTTGAGGTGGTGGAACTTCTGTGAGCGCGAAGAGTGTCTGCGACTGGGCACCAAGCTAACCCAAAGGAAGGGAGGATTGTACGTGTTTTTCACAGACCGGAGTCCTCACGTGCAGTCGTTGAGGAAATACTCAACTTCTGTCCTGGAGGGTTGCGTGCTGCAACCCGAATCACAGAAGGCCTCGCAAGGATTGTCTTTTTAAATTATTGTTAGTATAACTCTAGGAACCAGCACAGTGCCCAGCAGGGGTATTTAGAGGACGATTCCTGATCCGTCCTACACCAGTGTAACTTGATTATATAGTTTAAAGTGAATGCCCCTTGTGAGGAAGACATTAGGCATTTTTATAAATAAAGGTTTGTTTTTATTTTCTCTTGCCTTTTAAATAATTTTTTTGGTAGAAAAAGTCTAGTTCCCGAGTGTATAGTGAACGGCAGAGGGCTTGTTAGCCCATAGTCACTACACAACCACCTGAAGCGAGTTGACTGGGAGTCTGCTGGGATGTAGGAGTTCCACGTGCCTGATGAACTACTTCAAAGGAACCAAGGAAGGAGAGGCTCCTCTAGGTGAGGTACAAATGGATGCCATTCACCTGACTCTAGTCACAGTGCATAAGTGATAAAGCTATTTATGACGGGAACTGGAAAAGTAGTCAGTGCCTCCTGTATGGCCCTGGGTCTTCAAATGCCTGCTGTATGACTTTGAGTTGTCCCAAATCAATATTCATTGAGGAAGGGGGAAAGGTGGGCTTGAGAAACAGGTATCATTGTTACACAAACACCCCCCCCCCCCCCCGCCGCCTTTTTGTGCTGTGATTCTTCTTTGCCCACTGCCAGTAGGAATTATGGCTCTTAATGCCAGTTTGTTAAAAAGGAAATTAACTATTTAATTACAAGTTATACACGTTTAGAAAAATGGCAGAATTGTACTGTTAAATCTCTCACTCCCTTCAGAAAGGAAGATACACCCACAAATGATGGGGGACTCAAAAGTTGGAAACTTTTAGGTTCAGGCAATTGATAAGCCTAAATAGTAAGTGCATGTGGAAAAAGCTGTTGCTTCAGGAGCTCAGATACGGCCCACACTGACCCTGGAAATCATAGCGATTGATCTTTGAGTTCTTTAAGAAGCCATAGGCAATCAAGGGGACGTTCAGCCTTCGTGTTCCAGGAAGAGACAGATGGCCACCTGGGGTAAAGCTAAGGCAACTAAGGACAACCTACCGACCACCTGGGGCACAGCTGGAGATATCTGGGACTTTGTGTTCCAGGGAGAGACAACTGCCCAGCACAAGAATGCAGTTTTTTTTTTCTTTTATCTAACTTTCCCTGAATTCCAAACCCCTCACCACACTTCGCTCTCAGTTATAAAAAGGCTGGCTTGCAGGGTAATGCAGGATGGTCCATTAGGGTACAAACCCGCCATCCTCTCAGATTGCTGGCCATCTGAATAAAGTGCACATATAGATTCAATCCCTGTCACTGCTTATTGGGTCTGGTAGGTGACAAGCAGCCTGAACAGCTTTTCCAGTTTCATAAACACACAGTCCTGCCCTCCCCTCTTTGTCCAGTCAGTCCAGTTTCAGAGCACACCAGTCAGAAGTACCGCCTTCCAGAAGGAAAAAACAAATCCGCAGTTTACTTCTTCCAGTTCCTCCCAGTAATCTGAGCTCAGCTGGGCAGGTCTCTCTGCGGTTCCCAGCACCACGGGCTGTGTCACCGTGATCTCCAGTTCTTGATCCAAACCACGTGGCACCTCCTCATGGCCTGCCAGCAAGAGTTCTTTAACCTCTTTTCTTCCCGCATAGTCCTGCATTGTTCCCCGTAGTCCTGCATGGCAGCCGCCCTTTCTTTTTCTTTTAATAAAGATTTATTGCCTCTTGCATGCCCCCTACTGGGGACCTGGTCTGCAACCTAGGCATGTGCCCTGATTGGGCAGCACTCAATCCACGGTGTCACATCAGCCAGGGTGGCCCACCTTTTTTTTAAAATCCCAACCTGGAACCTCCTCTGTAACCCTATTTCCAACTCATCCTTCAGTCGCCTACACCTGCTAGCACTCCTCTATTCTCTGCTTTTCTTGGCTGCCATAGTTGCTCTGGGCAGGCGTGGCCCGTGGCATGGAACGAACCAGCTCCAAGCTTCACTGACGCTGTAACCAGGCAGTGGCAGGGAGGGGGCGGGGCGCGGGGAAGGGAAGCTGCCTCCTGGCTACATCACAGATCAAAGTCTTGCCCATCTTCCTGGCTCCATGCACGCTATGAAGCTAGCCTGCTATTACTAATATGCAAAGTGACTCTCAATCTCCGAGCTGCTGCTTTTCCCAGCCCCCAGCTAGGCTTGAGGGGGGCCGTGGCCTCTCAGCTTGCACCCTGCTCTGAACCTCACTCCACACCCGTTACTTCATTACTTCAGAATTTGCACTTGAATAAATCTATTTAAGAAATCCATCTCAGACTTGCTTGGATCTCTGGAGACAATTTAGATATTAGACCTGGAAGACACCTAAAATACCTAGCTATTTCATCCTCCCTAGCATTCCCCGGTCCAACCATTGCTTTTAAAGAGAGAGGAAGGGAGAAAGAGAAACATCGATTGGTGGCCTTCTATGCAGTCCAATGGGGATTGAACTCACAACTTGGGTATGTGCCTGACTGTGAATCAAACCCGCAACCATTCAGTCTACAGGACATTGCTTCAATCAACTGAGCCACACCAGCCAAAGCAGCTTTGTTTATTTTAAGTTAAGGAAACAGGTTCATAAATATTAAATGATTTGCCCAAATTAGTGAAAGAGTCAGGACTAAAATCCAAGTAGCAAAGACTTCAGGCATTCTTGAATCTAAGAATTAGTGGCTTACTTAGATTCTGTATGTTTATTTTAGCTGATTGTGTCAATCACTTGCAGGTTATCTAGAATGTTACTGTTTTCTAGAACTTACTAAGTAAATTCTAATTTACTAGAATGTTCTAAGTAGGTGGCAAATACATATTTTATCAGTCTAATCATAATGAAATATTTTTATTTGTTCAGCTCACTTAACCTGGGGACACAAGTATCAAATAATTAGAGTAGCCAAGACTGCAGTTGCTAGCTCTTCCCTATTTATTTAGTCTCCTTTGTTTATTTCTCTCTAGGTGCTACTTGAATATGCCTATTTTCCCATAATTTTGTCTTTGGTCCCTTTATCAATTTACATCCTCATACAAGGGAAATTCCTATGGTTCTGTGGTAGGCAGTTAGACAGACATGAGCAAGGACGATATGCCAGGTATGTAACAGGGTGCAGCTAGGTGCTCCCCGCAAGGGAATTTGTAATGGCGTCCAGAAATTGGGGTGTCCAAGAAAAATATAGGATATTCTCACCCCGCTCCAAGGCAGGCTGCCAAGGGGGATGGGAGATAGGGAGCAGGGCCATTGAAAGTTATTTTGCACGTCACAGTAGGCTGAGGGCCATTGTGAGTTACTTTGAATATCTACAATAGGTCAGCTTCACACTGGACTTGGAGCAAGGCCACTGAGAGTTACTCTGAATATAAATACAGAAAGTGACCAGAGGGGAGGGGGAAAGAGGACAATGGTGGTAAGAAGGGGAAGGGACTAGACAAAGAACATGTATGGATGACCCATGGACATGGACAACAGAATGGGAATTGACTGTGGGAGTGGGGAGCGAGGGTGGGATGGGTGGAGGGGTAAAAATTGAGACAACAGTAATAGAATAAACATGATTTATAAACTAAATAAATAAATAAATAAATAAATAAAAATAAATACAGCCAGCTTCATATAGACAGGAAGCAGGGCCATTTGAGGATCATTTTGCATGTCAAGAACAGCAGGGTAGCTTTATACCTCATATGCAAAGATGGTTATTTTGCATAGCAACAAACCGAGGGGGCTGGTATAACTTTAACCCAGCATGTAACTGGGCAGGGAGCTCCACCGGTAGCAGAGTCTGCAGAGGGAGTTGGAGTAGGAGATGGGGTTGCTGGAGAGGATTCCCGCCAGGGTTGGGATGGAGGCATGGCACCCATGGCCATGCTAGAGGCTTTGAACCATGTGGGTTTAGGAGCAAAGTGGAGGCTCCCTTGACCACGCGTCTTAGGAAGCAGGAAAGCAAGATGTAGCAGCCATGCAGGCAGCCCACCCCCCTGCCCTTTTTACAGCAAGTGGTCAAGAGAGCTCAGAGATGGTTTGCTCCATGCCGTGAGGGAACAATGCAAAGACCATGCAGGAAGGAAAGGGGAGAAAGGGCTCTTGATAGTGGGCTATGAGGTCACATGGTTCTAAATTAAGAACTGGAGATCTCAGCAACACAGGATGGTGCTGGGAACAGTGAGAGGCCTGCCTAGCTGAGCTCTAGACTTCTGATCTTTTTCTTCTGAAAAACAGTACCCCTGACTGGGCAAAGAGGGGAAGGTAGGACTGTGTGTGTTGGTGAGTGTTTTAACTGGTGGGTGTTTTAAAGGGATTTTCAGATTTAAGGGAGACATTTAGCCATTAATCAAAGCTTGTATAACTTTTGAATAAATAGTTCCTTTCCTTTTCACAAAACTCTGCCATTAAGAGCCATAATTTCAAGGGTGGTAGGCAAACGAACCTAGAGCAGGGGGGCCCGAGTAAAGGGGGGTGTTGTCCCAATAATAGTATCTGGGGCTCCCCCTCAATGGGTATGCGTTCAGAAACAGGCACAGAGGGTCACCAGGGTAGAAAGCCCCAGGTGCCATCAATGGCAAACTGGGAAAACAAGGACCTCACCCACAGGGTAACATTTCCTCCCCTAGGATATCAGCTCGTCGTGCAGCTCAGACTTTCCCTGATATTTCCTTCCCTAGCATGTTGCTAGCATGTGGGTTAGAGCCCCTAGAGGGAGAATGAACAAGGCGGCCAGAGAACACCCCTG